GCAACAGCTTTTCCAGGTTCTGCAGTCATCTGAACAAAATTATAGACCTTCAGCACCTTCCATTAAAAACAAAACAAAGCAAAAAGAAACAAAAAAAAAAAGAATAATATCCAGAAAACAGCAAAGTTCTGTTGCTGTTGTACCTGGCACCATTTTTTTTTATTAGCATCTTAATCATCATCTGGAAAGAGAACATTCTAGAGTAATATCATTAAATATTAGCTCTGATAAACCACGGTCGCTACTATGTATCATAAAGCAGGTACAAGATATTTTACATTCATAGAGGTATGATACAGTACTGTTCTACATCAATAATACTAGAATCAGTTTCGGTTTGAAATTTGCTTTGTCTGCAAATAAGATTGCTACCCCTGTTTTTTTCTGGGCTCCTGTCACATGGAGAATTGTTTTCTATCCTTTCACTTTCAGTCTATGGGCCTCTTTTTTCGCTAGATGTGTTTCTTGTGTACAACATATTGTTGGATTTTGCTTCTTATTCCATTTTGCCAGTCTATTTTTCTTGATTGGTGAGTTGAGGCCATTGACATTGCTGGTTATAACTGATATGTACTGACTTATTATTGACATGTTATTGGCCTTTTGTTGACTCTTTTTACTTTTTCACCTTCTCCTTTTAATTTCTTGCCTTGCCTATTTGATTTGCTCTGTTGGGCCTCATGGTGTTGTTGCCTTCACTGTCTTTTTCTAGGATCTTGTTTAGAATTGCTTGTAGTGCTGGTTTGGTATTCATGTAGTTTCTCAGGTGTTCTTTGTCATGGAAGTATCTTATTTCCCCCTCCATTTTGAAAGAGAGTTTTGCAGGATACATCAGTCTAGGTTGGAGGTTGTTCTCTTTTAGTACTTGAAATATCTCATTCCAGGCTCTCCTTGCCCCAAGGGTTTGTGTTGAAAAGTCTGCTTTGATTCTGATGGGCATTCCTTTATATGTGATTTTTTTCTTTTCTCTTACTGCTTGTAGTATTTTGCTCTTCTGTTGGGTTTCTGGGATCTTGATTATTATATGTCTAGGTGTAGATTTTTTTTTTATTGTAGCTAGTTGGGGTCCTATATGCCTCAGTTATCTGAATGTCAAATTCTTCCCCTCTGTTTGGGAAGTTTTCTGTCATTAATTCTGCGAACAGCTTTTTAAAGTCATTTGTATTTTCTCCTGCTACTTCATGGATTCCTATCAATCTTATGTTATTCTTCTTTGCATCATCTAGGAGTTGTTGGATCGATTTCTCATGATCCCTTACTGTTTTTAAGAGACCTCTCTTTTCATGGTCACTGACTGCAATCTTATCTTCTATATCTGAGAGTCTATCTTCGCATTCTTTTATTCTGTTGTGTACACTTTCAATGGAGTGTTTAATCTCCTGGATATCTGTTTGAATCTGTTTTATGGATTCCATTTCTTTCCTATGTTGGGCGTTTATTTTTTCCATTTCTTTCTTATGCGGGGCCTTCATGGCTTCTATCATGGTCCTGAGCTCATCTATTTTTTTTATCAGTTTATGCTCTAGAGTCTTGAATCACGACTTCCATTTTGCTCACTATCTCTATGGTTATCTGGGAAATTATTTCTGTTTTGAATTTTTCTAGAGCCTGATTGATCTGTTTTGTTACTTCTTGTGCTTTGAGTTCAGGGTGTCCTGGCGGTTCACTATTGGCCTTTTCATCCTCATTTGCCCTACTGTTTGTCATTGGTGAACTGGAAGTCTGTCCTTGTGTCTTGCTTAAGTGTTTTCTCATTTTTATTTTTGTTATTGGACTGTCCTTGGTTTAATCTCTGGGTTATCACCCTAATCTTCCTCATATATTTGCGCCCTAGCTTCTGTGTCTCTAACGACCCACAGACATTCTCATCTTCATAACATCAGAGAAGCAGCTCATCAAATCATCTGCAATGCTTTACCCCAACTGGTATAATCAGCAACACATTATGATCAAGCACAATTTGGACACTGACCACCGGTGGTAGTCACTAGTCTATCACCCTTAAATCATTTGAATTAAATTGAAATCAAGAAGCAGTCCAGAACATGTCTGCAGTGAACAAAATTTCAACATAGTGTATTTACCATTTAATGGCTCAGACAGAGCGAGGATGCAAGACCCCTGGTCTCAGTTAGCTGATGGCTGAACCCCATGACTCTGACTGACCTCGGGCTGCAAGGCCCAGATTGAGTTCCCCAAGCTTCTGAATGGTTGAACTCTACACCATTCTATTACAGGTTTCCCACGCCCTTTCTTTAACGATGTTCAAAGTTGGGAACTCAGAAAAATACCCCTGATGACCACCTCTGCCTCTGCAGAGTGGGTCCAAAGACTGACACAGGAGGTCTGAGAGTGCGGGGGGGACAGACGACTTATGGGGGGGTGGTTCAGGGGCGCCTGCACGGCTACCTTCCCGGCACTTGAGCGATGGCGGCTGGGTCAGGAGCAGGCCTGGTTCTCCTTCCCGTGGTGGATCGGGGTCCAGGCTTCCTCCCGGTGCTTGAGACGATGACAGCTGGCTGGACTCAGTGTTTTCACTGTTTGAGTTCCACCACCTCACCCCGCAAGGTTGCCAAAGATGCCCTCCTCCTGTTTCACCTGGGGGATCTCTTTATGTACTGGCTGGTGAGTCAACTATGGGCCACAAGCCAGACCCAGCCTGCTGCCTGATTTTGTATGACCTGTGAGCAGAGAATTTTTACATTTTTAGGTTTTTGGTTTTTTTTTTTTTTTTGCATGTCCATGTGCAGTCATTCCAGCACCATTTGTTGAAAAGACCATCTTTTCTCCACTGTTTGCCATTGCTTTTGTGTCGAAGATTGGTTATGTGGGTCTATCTGGGTCTCTGTTCTCTCCCTTGATCTATTTGTCTATTCTTTCTCCAAGATCATCCCATCTTGATCACTGTAGCTTGATGGTAAGTCTGGTGATGTCACCACCAACTTTGTTCTCTTTCAAAGCTGTGTTGGGCATTCTGGGAATCCTTTGCCTTTCTGTAGAAACTTTACAATCAGTTTGTCAAATCTACAAAGTTTCTGTGTTTTGAGTGATTAGAAAAAGAAAAAAGCATTTCACAACACCTGAAAATTACATGGCTTTCAAACTATCATCTCCATAAATAATCTTGTTGACGTGTTACTTACGGCTGTTTCACAGTGCAACAGTGGAGTTGGGTTGTGACAGAGACCAGATGGCTTGGAAAACCTAAAATACTGTCCATCTTGCCTCTACAGCAAAATGTACTGTCTCTGGTCTAGATCTGGAGCATGTGGCTCATGCTTAGCTTGTTGCATCTCAGCAAGACCCATGGAGCTAGACTGCCCATTGCCCTGTCCTTTGTCACCGTTTGCTAGCTGTGTCATCTTTACAGGGCCACTTGACCTTCCAGGGCTTCAGTTTCCTATCTGTAAAGTGGGGAAAGTGGTATTTATCTCATAAAAGTGTGAGGATTCGATGAATTACTTTGTGCAAGTACTTAGAAGACTGCATGATATGTAGATGCCATATGCAAGTGGTGGCTACCGTTTTACCAAAATAGTCTCAAGTCCCTGTCATGTGGACTCATTTATCCCACTCCTTCCAAGTCATGATCACCTTGAAATAACCTTAAAGTAAGTCTTCCCTTCAAAGACCTGCCATGCCTCGCAGTCGCTCACGGACTAGCCTGGCATTTTTGACTTCACAGCCCAGCTCTTGTCTGTCCACTCAGCCTCGTCTACCTTGCCCTCCAGTTACAGATCCTGTGTTCCAGCCTTTCCCAGCCCTCCATGCTTACCCCTCCTTCCGTGCCTTCCCGTTAGGGGGCTCCTCCTGCCTGGAAAACTTTCTTCTGGGAATCTCAAAGGGTCACTGAGCTGTGGGGGTGAGTTACAGCTATCGTTCCACAAGCTTCAGTGTGGGATCTCACAGTGAGCCGGGAGTGGAAATACACTGCTCTCCTCACAAAGTAAAGCTGCGGAAGGAGGCTGGTGTGGAAGAGAAATCCAGCTGGGCCCCGGGCTCAGGCTTCCCTTCGGTGTTGCCTAATGGTGTGTGGGGGCTGTAACCAAAAAGGTTCACTCTGGACAGAGAACCAGGCGTGGAGAAGTTATAGGAAGGGACCTGAGTGGCTGATCAAATATCAGGGTCACAATGTGTCATGGAACTATTGAGACCAGTATCACGCTCCTGTAACAACATGAAAAATGCTCACAATAACATTAAAAGGGATCGTGCAGGGAACAGAGTTGCGTGCACACCGATTACCAAGGAAGGAATGAAAATCATATTTGACTGGGAGAATAGCAGCATTGTGGATGATAGTTTGCTTCTTTTAGAGTGCTGCTAATTTTACTGTTTGCATCAACTAAATATTTTAGGGGGAAACCCCACTTGTGTGCCTAAATGAGTCTAATTTGTCATATGTAAACTGTACTTAAAAAAAGTAAACTTAAATGTTTCCTTTGGTAAAGTAAAAATTTTTAAAAGACTAGGCAAAAGTAAGCTGGGACAAGGATCATGTCTTTGTGGTCTCCTAAGACCCCTCGATGCAGCCCCTGCCTAGGTATTGAGTACAGCAGCGGCTGCTTGGGACCCCGGGATTAGCGCCTCTCCTAAAATCACATGGCCCTTCGGACCACTCTGGAATGTGCTCTGCTTCCCCTGTTTTGTGATTCTCAAACAGCCATTTGCCCAACATTCCCTTGCGGGGGGTGGTTCTGCCCTCTCTGAGGAACCCACAAAGCCATCTGTGCCAAACGCCTGTGTCTGTGCGTGACGCATGTTATTGCTGACCCTGCTCAGCTCACTGTTTTGCATTTCAACCTAGGGATTCTTTTCCTAAGAGTTTGTGTCCCTGGAAGCGTGGTATTCCAAACTGAGCTGCAGGAGTGTAACCTGAGCTCTCCTTAACACACAGTCAGCCCTGAGCTGGGCACAGAAATAGGGCTGGAGGAAGGGCATGAAGACCACACAGCAGTTAATTCCAGTTGAAACATTTGGACCATCTTTGCCTTTTTTAGGGATCACCCAAATCCACATCTCTTCTGGACAGAACACACTGGAAGGCCAGCTGTGGCCAGAGGTGAGAGCTTTTCCTGGTGGGAAGTATGGGGTGGTAGGTTTCCTTCGAGGGAGCAAGTTCTAGTCTTGACACAGGTTGGCACACCCCTTTGGGAGGCCTCGAGGGAATGGGCGAGATGAGCTGCTGCTTTGCCACAGCGGGGCTGCCTGGCAGAGCCTGACCTGTCCTGGAATTTGGGACTCATTGTTCCTGCACTGAGCAGGCAGTTCCCAGAAGTGTCCAGGCAGCATTATAAATGGGCTCGTTATCTCTGTGAACCTTGAAGCAGATGTGGTACTTTATTTGAAGGCATCTGGGTGAGGTCTTCCCAGAACCTCTGAGATAAGAGATGAGAGTAAATACTGTGTCTCTTACCCTAATCAATAATTCAAGTGGAATTAGTGTCTGTTTTTTAGTGGTCATGAAGTATGACCACCTACTGCATGTTTTCCCTCCCACTCTTGATTTTGGGGAAGGAGAGACACAATCTTCCTTTCCCAAAGCCATCTGTGTTACTTTTAGAAGTAGTAGCTTCTTGGGATTCTTATCAGAAGTCCATCTGCACTGAAGACATTCCAACCTCCTGGGAACAGAAGACTCTCATTCCAAGTTTACCTGGTTTTCAGCACCTCCTGTACTTGCATTTGTGTGAATAATCAAAGACGGGGTGGGGGGGGCAAAAGAAAAGAGAGAAAGCAGACAATGCAAATAGCTATAGCATAGAATTGATTGTCTTTTAGTCTAGATTTACTGGTTCTCTTAGTTACTTTTGAATTGGGGCAAAATACATGTAATATGAAAGTTTTTAGCTATCTGAGTGTGGAATTTAATGGCATTAAGTATGTTCACATTGTTGTGGAACTGACATCACTGTTCGTCTCCAGGACTTTTTCATCATTCCAGGAATTAATTTTTATTCCCCACCAGCTGCCCTCCATGTCCACCTCACTTTTCTCTGAGACACTCTTAGGTGCCACCTGCTAAAATCATTGTCAATATTCCCCTGTCCCTTTTACCAGGGAAACTGGAGTTTAGGAGAAGCAGCCATGGAAAATTATTGCTTCTGGATTTTGAGCCTAGGTGGAACAAGCACAAGGCCATTTCTGCGCTGCATGTTTAGAGCCTGCAATGTTTCTTTCCAAACAAGGCAGCTGATGTTTTGCTTCAATTGCAGACTGTGGAGAATTTTCCGTTCCTGTGCAACCCAAAGAAGTTAGGACTGACCATGCCTTCTGAATCAGGTATGTGCCGCGGGCCATAAGTAAGAAAGGCTCAGCACCTTCTCTAAGGGGTGGCCGACAGAAGCTCCAACTCTACTCTTCTGTGACACTTTAGCTGTTCAATTCTCCCTCCTCTTCATCCTCAGCCCCTTGTTCCACCTCTATCCAACACCCCCCCAGTCATTTCTATGGTGGGCTAGAGCTCATTGTCCCACTCAGGAATAAAACCAACATGGCCCCACGGTGGATTTCTTGGGTGGGGCAGCCTCTAGGACCTGCCTCCGTGTGGGTTGAAGGTGTTGTGGAGCTGTGAGTCCAAGCCCAATTGCTCACGTGGCTTCCCTATTTCTGTAATGGGGCCACAGTGGGCATTCAAGCCATTTGCCCCTATTATGAGTCAGGCTTGCCTGGTGCCTGAATGCCGTGAGTGCTGGTCTTCTCGAGATGGTCTTCTTCCCTGGCTTTAACCCATGTTAAGGGGCTGTGTTCAATGGTTATCTTTATGCTTGCATTATATTGACTTGATCAGTTAGGATACTATTCTAGTTCTCTGTTATGTAAAGACTTGAGGCAGAGGAATAAGCTGATGTACTTTTTAGGAAATGGTATTCTAGCAGGTTTACATTTAAATGCCTCTGGGACATGACTGAGGAGTTTGGTCATTGCCTTTTAGGGAGACTTAATTTCTAAAAATTCTGGAGACTTCCATGAGTATCATTTGCTTACATCTTGCATGGTATGTTTTTGTGTGTTTACAGGTTTTAAGTGTCATTCCCTAGCAAGCTTCAAGCTAAATTTAGAGGTTGTCACGTGCTTTAAATTTGATTTGTTACCTTCTTACTTATTAATGATGACCCAGAAAGGCAAAGGTACAGGGTAAAAGGAAATGAGAGGCAGACAGAGAGCCAAGTGAGTAGGGAAAAGGGGGGCCACCATGCATGACCTTCCATGGGACATCTATTTGGAGACCCTGGGTCCAGGTAACAGTGTGGCCCCCGAGGGGAGGGAGCCTCTCTCCAGAATAGTTCCCAGGAGCCCCAGAGACAGGCAGAATCAGCTTCCCACGTCCACACCGACAGATTTGCCTTCACAGCTGGGCCAGTACTGTAGGGTGCAAGCCTGCTCCATGCACACACCGGGCACCCTCTGCCCACATCTCGGGGTACAGAGCTGACCTTGCTGCATGGGTTCTTGTGTTCACAGTGCACTCTCTGATGCCCGCTGACATCAAATTCATAGCAGCCATTGGCAACATGGAAACAGTGAGTGTTTAAAGTAGCTTGGGGGAAGGCCTTGGAGTTCGGAGTTGGAAAAGCTGAATAAACCCCTGCTAAACAGGCAGGATGTTCCGCTTGGGGAGAGAGCTTTATATGAATGAAGGAAATGCTAAAATCCAGGAGGTTTTGAATTCTTAGTGTAAAATCAGGTAAACGCTTACTCTTGCATCAGGGTGGGGCAGCCTTGGAATTTGTCACTGATAAATCCATGGATCAGTCAAGTATTGCACAGAATTTTTAAGGCGATCTTTTAAATGTTTTATTTATAAAAGAAATCCTTCACCTGCTTTGTAACCTTAAAAGATACATAAATCTTAGCACTAAAATCTTATTTATAACTGTGCTAAATATGCATACATCAAATTTAGCATTTTAGCCATTTTTAATCGTGCCGTTTAGTAGTATATATTCTCATGATTGTGCAAACAACCTCTGAATCTTGCAGTCCTGAAAACTCTCACACTTTGACTTCTTTCTCTTCAGATCATATAACTCTTTCTTCCTTTCATTTTTTTTTTTTTTTTTTTTTTTTTTTTTTTTTTTTTTTTTTTTTTTTTTTTTTTTTTTTTTTTTTTTTTTTTTTTGAGACGGGGTCTCACTATGTAGTTGAGAGTGACCTGGAACTCACTATGTAGCCCAGGCTGGTCTCAAACTCACAGCGATCCTCCTGCCTCAGCCTCCTGAGTGCTGGGATTACAGGTGTGCGCCACCACACCCAGCCCAGATTGTATAACTCTTTTGCCTTCATTGAAACTCTCCACCTCTTCAGTAACAACTCTTCCTCCCTTTCTCAGTCCCCAGCGACAACTCTTCCACTTTCCTTTCTAAAAGTGAACTCAAACAGTGTTTGTCTTCTTGTGACTGGCTTACTTCACTCAGCATAATGTCCATAGGTACCAGATGCTTCCTTTTCAAAGCAGAGTAACCCTTCATTGTATGGAAATATCATGTTTTGTTTATCCACTCACACCCACCAATGGGCCTGAAGGTTGCTTCTGTCTTGGCGCCTGTGACTAATGCTGTTATGAACGCGTGTGCACAGATAACTCTTCAAGACTCTACTTTCAATGTTTTGGTCACATAACCGGAAGTGGAATTGCCACATCGTATGGCAATTCCATGAGAAATGACTTTTCCTACTGGCTGCACCATTTTACATTCAAACCGAAAAAGTTCAGGGTTATTATAGTTTCTCCGTATTCTCAACAACTCTTATTTTCTGCTTTCTTTTTGCCTTTAAATCATAGCCACCCTAATAGTTAGCAGGGCACTCACTGTGACTTTGGTTGTATTTCCCTAACGATTAGGGACGTGTGAGCGTCTTTTCTTGGGCTTATTGTTCGTAAATTTTAAGTGGTATATTTTATATGGTCAGGCAAGGGAGAAAGAAAGTGGTGAGAAAAGCAGAAAGAAAGGGGTGACCAGCCAGAAGAGTTGGGAACAGAAAGTGTCAGCATCTCCCGCCAGTCCTTGGTGCCCACATCCCACCTGCCCTGGTCTTGCAAAGCGCAGCAGCCCTACTGCTCCTGAAGTCCCAGTGACCCTGGCTGGACAGAACACTTCTTCACAGGCCTCAGCTCTGCCCTGGAGCTGTCTTGTGCCTCCTACCCTTGACAATCTCCTCTCTCCCGTGTCCACCCCTGCATTTCCTTCCCGAAATCGACGACCTCTGTCCCTGCTACAGTCCGTACTCCCTTCGCCCGGCCTGGGCACAACCCATGACTCCATGGTAGTGTCAGCTGCCCCGATGCCTCAGACACCCTGGATGGGTCCCACCTTCCCTTCTCAAATCACAGCCTCTCTAGAACCGCCTGGGACACGCAGTCCTGCTACGGTCAGACCCACCATGTTCACAAATCCCACCTCTGTTTGAACGCTGGATGAAGCTGCCCAGGCCTAGGACGTCCTCTAGGCATTGAACAGCTGTGACCAGCTTGGAGGGAGGATGTGGATGTAGCGGGGAGAAGGGCGAGGAGGTATCAGAGTGCTGAGGTCCCGGGGACTTCACGTTAGCGGACGGCGTTGGCCGGGTGGCCTGTGACAGGCAAAGCTTCCCCATCCACCCTTGCTCTATTCTTTCTCTGTGTGGCCAGCTGTGTGTTGATGGGAGGGGATGAGGCTCCCCTCAGGACAAAAGGAGGAGAGCTGGAGGTCGTTGAGGAAAGGGTTCATGTGTCCTGGATAGCAGGCTGGCTTTGACGAGCCCGGGCAGGTGACACCAACATGCCAGGCCTGGGGGGTGTGGCCTCATTGCTGAGAACTTGGATTCTTCCACCTTGGGCAGGCCTTGGGCAGGGGACTCTCCACTGAGGCACATTTCCAAAGTTAAACCCCTCAGGGCCCTCCACCCCCTGCCATCCCAGCTCCTAAAGAGTGTTCCTGCTCATGAATGATTCAGGCCTGACAGCTCAGGGCTGTCACTCACTCGCTCATACCTGGGGGAGCCTGGGGCCTACAGCAGCGGAACTCAGCCCGGTCCAGGATGCCTCCAGCCCAGCATCATTATTGGTCCAGTGCTGGGAAATTTGACCTTCAGAATCACACCTGACAGGACAGTCCCCGCAGGCCTTGTTCCTTACCATCCTGAGGGATGGGTGTGAACCTAGCTGGGTTTGTTTAAAATAACTATGGGTGGGGGGGGTGGAATATAGTGAATTTAAAAAGAAAGTCTGCTTTGTATTCCTGGATATAACCGAGGCCCAGTCATTCATTTGGGAAGGTAACCACGACTATTTTAAATGCTGCAGCCCCCCCCCCCGTTTTCTTCTTATAGAACTTTAAAATTAGATACGTAAGTTTTCATAAAATGTTCAGATAACAGAGGACCCAGTCACTGGTCAGTTCTCTTCCTTACCCCCCACTCCAGTGTGCAGCAAGCCATAGGGATGTGGGTGACGCCTGGAACCTGAGAAGGATCACAGATAATATGTCCTACCTGTGAATTGTTTGCTTGTTTTCCTTGACCCTCCTAGATATTTCCACGCCCCCTGGAGAAGAGAGATTAGAGTCCACTACCCCGTATTCCTTGGGGAAGAGCCTGTGTGGTCCTTAGCTCTGTGTCCCTGGTGTCGTAGCCCCTGCCACAAGGCAGGCATTCAGTGAGTGAGGATGGAGGAGACACGATGGCTGCCAGGGCAAAGCGGAGAAGTAGGGGTTGGCAGGTTTGTCCGCCGTCCCTTTCCGGTACTTCCTGCTAACTGGTCACCCCATTCCTGTGCCTGTCCCTCTTGTATCCTGTCCCATCCTTCTTCCCGCCCCTCTTCACTATTCCTCTCTGGAGACAAGATCTGCTATCTATCAAGGTAATTATCAGAAGAAGCAAATTGTTGGTCTTAAAATACATTTTTGGGGGAATAGTACAGGAGATTGAACTCAGGGCCTTTCACTGAGCTAGATCCCTAGTGCATTTTACTTTTGGGGACAGGTCTTGCCAAGCCACTAAATTGCCCAGGCTGGGCTTGAACTTGCGATCTCCCTGCTTCAGCTTCCTTGAGTACTTGGGTGCAGCACGACTTCCAGCTCACACTGTCCCTAATTGAATCAGCTGCCAACATGGAAATCAGTGTTAGGGAATCGATCATGTTAAAGTATGCTGTGACGCCGCCTCACAGGCTGCATTCTCCTGGTACATCTTGGCTCCTAAAATGACCTCATGCCCTTATCTCTGGTTTCCCTCCCCCACAAGGCCGCAGTGGTCCAGGAAAGTTGAAACCTGTGTCTGCAGGACTGGGGGCATAAAAGCAACCTGGCCTGTGATAGGTTAAAAGTAACTCACTCCTCATAAATAAGCAATAGCCCACCCCAAAACTGATAAAAGGACCTTCCTTTCTTTGTTCCTCTCTCTCCTTCTGCTGCTTCTTCCTCTCTCTCCCTCTCTCTCTCTGCCTTCCTGCCTCCTGCTCGCCTCCCTACAATAAAGATCTCCTGCCGGACCTCTCGGTGCGTGAGTGGCCTAATTGGGAAGGGGCACCCGAAAGGGCACGCGAACCCCCCTTTCAATCAGGAGATTTAAAATAAATGTTTGTGTTTCCAGCTTCTCTTGAAAAATGAGATCTGGCGGTTAGGGGTCCATGTTCCTCTGGCTGCCGTCAACCTAGGCTAGATAGAGCACGGCGCCCCTCTAGTAGTGCACGGGCTGGCTACAAAGTCTTCTCACCTCTCTAGCTGACCTGTCCATGTTTATAATCCTCACCTTTCATCTTCGTGTGGTTTTTGTTTAACTCGTCCCTCCTTCCCTGGGACAATGACCTTTCTAAGTCCCTCTTACGGAGGATCAAGGAACCCTGTGCCCAGGTAGAGTAATTTCATGGTCAGCCTGCCCAGCACAGAGAGCTCCGGAGCTGTGACCAGCCCATGGCCTGGCCCCCCATTGAGAGGGAGTGGAGGAGAGCTCCTGGGCTCTTTGAAGGTCTGGAGCAGGCTGGGTGTGGACAGCGAAGGTCTCACCATCTAACCTGTCACCACCACACCCGACATCCTGTCCTCTAGGAATTTTGAGAGACCGTGTGTCAGAAACTGTGAAGATAATAGTGCTGATCATAGCTCACGTTCACTGAGCCCTTTCCATCTCAGACATATCTGTAAGTGTTACCTCAGGGATTTCGAATGATGCAGGGAGTGGAGTTACCCAGGGTGTCACTGCAGGGTTCGAGTCGGACTTCTCCAACCAGTGGTAACCACATGCTGACATGTCAGGCACTGTTCTAGGTCCAAGAAATAGTCAAGTTCCCAATGTGAAAGTCCCTGCCCTTGAGGCACTTGTGTTCTAGTTGGGGAAAATGGCAATAAACAAAGTCCATTTCAGATTAAGGCAGGGGGTGGGTGACACAATGTTTGATTCCATGAAGAATATTAATGCATCCCCACCAAAGCTCTGAGGGAAAATACTCACCTCAGAGGCCTGGCAGAGATGTCCCTCTGATGCCTCCCCTGATGACTTGTTAACACCAAGTATCTTTCTTTCTTTTTTTTTTTTTTTTTTTAATACCGGGGATTGAATTCTGGACCTTGTGCTTGCGAAGCAGGCGGTGGATCCACTGAGCCAAATCCCCGGCCCAACACCAAGTATCTTTCTTTCTTTTTTTTTTTTTTTAATACCGGGGATTGAATTCTGGACCTTGTGCTTGCGAAGCAGGCGGTGGATCCACTGAGCCAAATCCCCGGCCCAACACCAAGTATCTTTCTTTCTTTTTTTTTTTTTTTAATACCGGGGATTGAATTCTGGACCTTGTGCTTGCGAAGCAGGCGGTGGATCCACTGAGCCAAATCCCCGGCCCAACACCAAGTATCTTTCTTTCTTTTTTTTTTTTTTTTTTTTTTTTTTTTTAATACCGGGGATTGAACTCTGGACCTTGTGCTTGCGAAGCAGGCGGTGGATCCACTGAGCCAAATCCCCGGCCCAACACCAAGTATCTTTTCCAGCTTCCAGACTCCGGGACAGTCAACCTGGAGGAGAACAAAAGGTACCTGACCTGGAGCAGAGAAGGAAGGGGGGCTCCCGGGACACTTCTGAGCAAATCTCTTTCCTCGATCGGTGGGGGAAATCAAGGGCAGGGGACAGGGCAGGGACCAGAACCAGCCTCTGACCTCCCAGCCCAGACCTTCCAGCTTGTGAATCCCAGTGGCCTCACTGGGTGGATCGGAGAGGAGAGGGGGATGTCCGAAGGGTGGAACCTTGCTTCTTGTCACCAGCCCCTTGCTCTGTCCATGGGGAACCGGGCAGGGTTTGGTCTGGGTCCCTGGACACCAGGGTCGTCATCCCCTTCTGGCTCAGGGCCAGGCTCGGGAGGAGGGGTGAGAATTCCACAGGGGAAGGCTGATGGCGGGTAACAAGGGCAGTTGAACACTTGCGTGCCCACCTCTCTCCTTGCAGGATTGAGAAGCCACAGCAAGCGTGCAAGGGCGTGATGACGGGTGAGTCCTGGCTTTTTCCAACATCCCAGCAATTTTGCTAATAAAGAAGAAGATATACTATACTGGCCACTTTGTCACTAGGGCCTGGGAAAAGGGGAAGGCGTTTTGAGAGGGCAGATAAGGGACCCAGGCTATGGAAAGAAAGTCACACACCCTGAGTGGAAGGCATGAGAAATGTGTCCAAAGGTCCCTGGACAAAGAGAAGACTGGAAACATTGGGCTAAGATGAAAGGATATGGAAGAGGGGCTGGGCCAGGGACCTGCAGTTCCTATTCCCCCAGAAGCCCAGGGCTGGCCCTGGATCACTTCAGCTGGGAAAATGTCTTGGTTCATTCTTCCTGCCCAAGGGGAGAACCTGGGTCTAATTTTCAGTCTGTTTTACTTCGTGTCTCCATTTGTAATATAAATACATCACTTGTGTTCAGCAAAATGACATGAAGGAAGTAAAAGTTACTGTAATTTCAATATTTAGAGATAATTATTGATATAGGGCCCCAAGTAATCTAAATAATGTAAATAACCCAAAGGAAAATACAACTCCCAAACTGCTAGATGTCTGGACATGCTGAGTTCCTGTTCTCTAAAACTGAGGAATGAATTCTAGGAACAACAGAGGTTAAGAGTAAGAAAATTTATTGAGGACAGAACAACTCTACCTGAGAGGGACAGGAGAGGACACCAGAAAGTTGTTTGTCCATCCACCCTGCTTCTCAAAAGTGTTTTATTGAGCAAAGACACAAGGTGAGGCAGGTTCAAGGTGGCACAGAACTATAGTCAGCTAATAAGATTGTAAGTATCGTGGCTTAGGTGATGTTGATCCAATGGGAAATCACAAGGTGGGACAAAACTATGATCAGCCAATAAGATTACAACCAGAGGGCCAGGGATTTAGCTCAGTGGTTCTGCCATATTACAACCAATGTACTCACTTAGATAATACTGATTAAATGAGGATCAAATGGAGAGGCTAGTCACCTAGTACATGGACAGAACTAGGATTTCCCAGAAGGAATGGGCTGGGGAGGTTTTGGCCCCCATTTAAGGTGATTGAAGCCTCTTTAGAATACCAACCACTGCTGTTCATCCTAGGGGAGGTACGTGAGTGTAGCTCTTCCTTTGTGAATCTTGACCTTTTAGTAAATGTATCTCAATTGTTTTCTGTGCTGAACGCCCAGCCCTGCCTGACTTATATTTTCTAACGAACTGGGCTGTTTTTTATGTTATGGCTAACGTTATGGCCTTTCTATATTCAAATGTACTTACAGTCACTGTAACCTGGGCTTTTTTATTTGCTGATAGCAGAGGTCCCTTTCTTGCTATTGTGTCATCCGAAAACCCCCAGTTCTTAACATCAGCCAAGTTAAACTGGAAGTTAGTCTGCTGTGCCTGGTGCTCCAGAGTCACGAAGGAGGAAAAACCACCTTTCCCTGGGGAATCAAAAGGGAGAAGCCGGGAGAGATGCAAAGGCTCTGCTGGCGGAGGAAGGGATGGAGGAGGTAGCTGGTGCCCTGGAATCCAGCTAGGAATTTACCTGAAGGGCGGAGGAGGAGCCTCGGGCTCCTGGAAAGGATGGGATGAATGAGATACTGGGCCTCCTTCAGAACTCCTGATCCAGCAGGGAAACCTGGGCCAGCTGTTCAGCCCACCTGTCACCTGATAGACAGGGGAGGGGATCTGGTGGCTATAGAGGTAGCAGGCAAGTCCCCCGCAACCCCGGGGAAGCGTCAAAGGGCTCTAAAAGAAGAGGCTCACTGAGGTGATGGTTGTCACCACTGTGCCTTGGCCTGGGCCTTTACCTTTACATGGCAGCTAGATAATTGTGTTTTGTTATTGGTCCTTACACATTATCCTCGTGTGAGGGAGGAAGTGTTCCTCATGCGCACACATACTGTCCTCATCTCGAACTGAGCTCAAAGCCGTGTGGCACAGACTTCTGCAAGTTGTTGGGGCAGCATAGGGAAATCCTTTTAATCTGGGTGAAGGAAGGGGATAATGCCATGTCACACATGAGTTAGGTGGCTGCCCAAAGTCACAAAGCCAAGTGACCGGTCTCCTGACTTCCGGTCCAGCTCTCCAGCCCTTCTCTGCCAGCTTCCTGAAGAGCCAGCTGCCCTCTCAGGGAGCCCTCTCTGGCCTAAGGGAGACAGGAAAGCCTGGGGACAAAAGGAAAGGGAGACCAGAAAGCCAGTAGGTGGAGGCAGCTCCCCTCCGTGACGCCCTCTCCGGCTCTGCCCTCTCCTCTCTAGGGAACAAGACACAAGTGCTCCTGACAGCACTATTTTTAGCAGCGCTCTGGCTGTCAGCTCTGGGACATGCTCTGTGTGTTCCCCAGAGCTTTCCCGCCCTGCTGTCACTCTCCGGAGGAGGCCTGGGAACTGGAGGGCAGCCCAGACAGTTAAAAGCCTTGGCATCCAAGAGCTCTGGTTCAAGTCCTAGCAACATCCAGTAGCTGGGAGACCTTGGGCAGCTTGTGGGTTTTCTCTGCCTTAGTTTTCTCCTTCAATAAACTGGAAATAGCATTGCTTTGAGTTCATTACTGAGGATTAGATGATGGAATGCAGGGTAACAGCACTGGGCCTGGCCTCCACTGCACACAGGCTCAGTCTCAGCTCCTAATGCTTCCAGGGCCTGCTGCAGGGGTGACCTCAAAGCCCAAGGCAGGGTGCAAAGGCTGCTTTGAAACAGGGCGGTGAGCTGGGCCACCTCTCTGTATACGGGAGCAGTCATTAGAGGTGACCTCCAGCCATCAAGGCCAAGGCTCAGGCCAGCTCTCTCTTTAGTTCTTGCAGACTTCATCAGCCACTTCAACCCTTCTGTTCTGAGGCCCATGTGCCCTACTGGGAAGAGCGCGGCTCCCTACAACGATGTCGTCACGTAAGCTCCCTTGCTATCTCTCCGGGGTTGTGTATTCCTGCTGGTCTTGGGCAAGCAGGTGGGAGGATTTCAGTGGCTGGCAAAGTCAAATAGGCTTCACAGTGGAGGGGTAATGAAAGAGCTGGCTGTTTAAGGTTTATGGAAGACTAAATGAGTTACAAAGGCAGAGCTGAATGCTGCCCCTGTGCTGTTTTAAAAATGAGGCTCAGAGACTGGCACCTCCACTGCGGTAAGGGGTGAGCTTCCAGACCCTGGAAAATTTTCTGTTTTACTGATTTTTCTTTCTGATCCCCTCTCCCTGCACAGAGACTTACGGAGTCAGGCCGAAGAACTGGTGAGAAGCTTGAAGGAGAACCCGGTAAGAGTCCACCTGACTCTGGTGCCGCTGGGCTGCCCACGGCTGCTGCAGGGCAATCAGTCCAAACAGAGTGGGGGTGATCCTGGCACTGTCTCGCCCTGAGCACAGCAACTGGTATGGGCTGGGCTCTGCAGAAATGCCTTTGCACACAGCTGTCTGAAGGTCACTAGAAGGAAAGACGAAGCAACTCTTCTGTTCAGAATGGTTTGCTTGTGCTACTGTGGGCATTTGGCAGACGGGGTGAATGATTTCCCACATAGCGAAGTGGTTGGGTTCCAGGGAGAGATGGGCTTGAGTTCAAATCCTGTATTTTCCACCTATTTCTGTGCAATGCTGGGTCAGGCACATAACCTCCTAAGACTCAGTTTCCCTACTAATGGGGTAATCAAAGAGCTCGCTGCCTGAGGTTCATGGGAGCTCAAATGGGTTATTGAATGTGCCTGGTGCAGACTCGGCGCTCAGTAAAATTCCACAGCTGTCATTGTCATCGAAGTGGTGATTGCACCAAGCTGGTTCTAACTGACCGCTGTGACTACAACCCTGGGCTCAAGGGAAGCCCCTTTCTCCGTCAGCCATGTGTCCGCTCAAAGGTCCAGAGTTCAAGTGGAGGTCATTCCAAGAGACACAGGGGCGGCAGCCAGTGTGCAAGCTGTGCTACAAAAGCTTGGTTTCCCCCAACAGAATTCCAGAATTTCTGTGACAAGAGAATATGATTGCTCTGCAAATAGCTGGGAGGTCCTGAATCGGACCCCTGGATATTACAGATAAGGAAGCTCAGATCACACTGCTGGTTAGAGCTAAAATCTCAAGGGCTTGATTCACAGTCCAGTGTGCCCCAGCCACAGGATGCTGCCTCAGGAGAACAGAATAGAAGTTTGTTTTCTTCTTATACAAGTAACACATAATCCTCATAGAAAAATCAGAGAATGCAGATAAAAAGAACATTAAGAACCCTCCTTAAACCTAATAGCCAACAGTAATTATTGTTAAAAACTTGGTACTTAGTCCTTTCCATGTGTTTGCTCAGTATATAAATACCTGTGTGTGTGTGTGTGTGTGTGTGTATGTGTATATATATTTTTTGGAGGTGGTTCTGGGAATCGAACTCAGGACTTTGTGCTTGCAAAGCAGGTGTGGTGTCACTGAGCTACAACCCTGGCCCTCCAGTATATATTTTCTAAAATGGGGATGTGGCTATTTTTTGCAGCCTGTTTTTCTCAATATATTATTTCCCATGACAATAATTACATTTTCCAGCATTCTTTTAATAATCACGTAATGTTTTATCTTATGAATGTTCCATAATTTACACAGTCATCTCCTATTTTAGAGATTTATGTTGCTTCTAGCTTTTCATTCTTATGAACAAGACATCATTAAAGCTAAATATTTTAATATATCCTTTTTTCCTTAAAATAACTTTTGGGAAATGGAACGACCGGATCCAAAGTTGTGCCCTTAAAAATACTTTTATATGTTGCCCAGCTGCCTTCTAATAGTTCTACTGCTTTAGGCTCTCACCATTTACTTCTCGGGATTAAAAGTCCATAAATATGATTGTGATGGGAGTGGGTGGGTGAAATTGAAAGATATGAAAAGCAGTTCTTTTGGCTGAAAATCTCACTGCTATTTCTTTTCTCTGTGATTTTTCTCTAGCAACTTGATTTCCACCGTGACTGGAAACTCGTCAATGTGTTCTTCAGTAATGCCAGCCTGTGCTACTTGTGTTCCTCTGCTCACGAGGTAAAGCTATACAGGTCTGGAGGCTGAGGGCCAACAGGTGCAGGGGTCGGGGAGGGTGAACGAAACCTGTCCGGTCCCTCCCTGCCATGCTGGGGCCAAGACCACCTATTTCAGATTTAGAACAGATGGACAGGTGTGGAGATGAAGTACCCTCATGGACAGGTGTTTTTGTTGGCTTTTTTCCTCCTCCTTATTGTGATATCCATTACATAACATGGACCACCTGAACCATTTTTGAATGAACAGTTTGGTGGTATTAAGTACATTCATAATATACACCCAAAACCATCACAAGGGACAGATGTGCTTTTACCATTCCTCAAATCAGGAGAAGCAAATTAAGATACAGATAAGCAGAGTCAACGGCCGCTCTGCGACTGAGGAAAATTGACCTCCAAGTGACTTGAAAATGATTTTGCCCCTGTTGATTCTGAATTCAGGGAATAAAGCAGAATGCATACCCTGTTGTCACCCCCGGCCTGTGAACTCTAGTGTAACGGGAGGGCTGCTGCTGACCTAAGGTGAACTCTCGACTGTAGCTTCTAGGCTTTTGGGCTTTCCTGGACACAGGGCATGAGACGTGCGATTCATTTATTCTTCTTCTTCTAAGTGGCTGTCTATGCCTAAAGCCTTTTTGGAAGACCGACCAGGTTACGGTCAGTTGAAAGTGTGTGGAATAGCTGAGAAGCTAAGGCTATGGTCCTGTGAATGGCAGACAGACTCTTCTCCAGGAATTGACGCATGATCGCCACCGGGCTGTCCCCTGCTACTTATGACAGCCCCGTGGCTGCCCGCTGTCCTCTGTGCCACTCTCCCAGGGCCTCTGTCAGGCCATGGCGTGGACATGAACAGTTTCTTCAGGCGTGATTCTCCCCCTCTCCGGGCCCCACTCCTGCCTCCCTCCAAATGCTGAACAGCTGGACTGACCCCTGGCCCCTGTAAGAACTCCCCTTCTTTGAGTGCTAGGGGACCGTGGGAGAATGCTGATGGAAGCCCTTCCTCCTGATTAGCTCTTACCGATCAGGAATAATCCTGCAGCTTTCCTGGGTATGTAGCATATAGCCAATGAAGGTTTATTATTCCAGGTCACCCTCTGTTCTTGCCAGTGCCAAGTGAAATTTACACACCCTGCTTTATCCTCTGCACCTCCCCTCCTTAGAGTCCTTATGCCTATTGATCTTAATTCATGAATTCATACATTCATGCATTGAAACGTTCAAAAAAGCATTTCAGCATCCGCTTTCCTTCATCTGCTCGTCCTTTCTTCCATCCACATGTTGTCGCAGTCACACAGAGATGTACTGTTTTCTTACATGCAGATGCATGCTATTGTATTTGCAATGAGTTTGTCCATGCAAGAGTTTGGTTCTTTTTAAACATATGAATATGCTTTCGTGGATGCGTACACTCATTCTTGACTCCTCTACACTCTTAATGCAGTCAAGTATCCCCGTGCGAATTCTTGCTTTCGTTAATCTGCCCCTTTAAGGGTCCCTCACACGTGATGCATTCCTTTGTACACGTACTCCATTTGTGCGTGATTTGCTTCTATTAATTTTTAGTTCCACAAGCAAAGACAAATGCTTTTTAGAAAAAGACTAAAGCATTACAGATGAAGCTAAATTTTACTTTGACTAGCATCCTAATTCTGTCCCTGTTTTTCCTCCCAGCCCCCTTTTCTAATTTAATATTCCTTACTTTACATGCATTGGTTACTCATATTGGTGGAGTCCATTGTGCTGTTTCCATAGATGCATAGTGTGCACCATCAGATCCCCCCAACCCTGCCCCCCACAACCCTAGTAATCACTATTTTACTTTCACATCAACTTTATTTTTTCACATATGAGAGAGAACGTGCTGTACTTGTCTTGCTGCGTGTAGCTTATTTTACATAATGCCCTCCATTTCTGTCCATTTTGCTGCAAACAGCAGGACTTAGTTCTTCTGAGGACAGAATAGTAACTCCATTGCGTATGTGTACACCACATTTCTCTATCCGTTCATTAGTCGGTAGGCATCTAAGTGGAGTCCATACCTTTGCCATTGTGAAGAGTGTTACAACAAACATGGCTGTGAAAGTGTCTCTCTGGTACGCTGATTTCCTTTCTCTTGGATGAGCAGAAGTGAGATGGCTGGACCATACGGTATTTCTGTTTTTAGGTGTTTCAGGAACCTTCATTTTGCTCTCCATGATGGCTGTACTAGTTGATAGTTCCATGAACAGCATACAAGAGTTTCTCACATTTGTTTTGATTATAGTCGTTCTAACTGGGATGAGATGATAGCTCATTAGAGTTTTGATTTGCATTTCCTGATGGCTAAGTTTTGAGCATTTTTCACATATTTGTTAACCATTCATATTTCTTTACTCCAAACTTTTTAACACGTATGAACCTTAGTATTATTTTCCTACATATTTGTGGATGAGATTTAATACAAATAGTATTATACTTTGTGTAATATTGAGTAAATTTTTTGTTAACTGAGTATTTTTGAGATCTAGTATTTTTTTGGTACCGGAGATTAAACTCAGGACCTTGTTGTGCTTGTGAGGCAGGTGGCAGAACCACTGAGCTAAATCCCCATTCTGTAAGATCTAGTCATGTTAATAGCATGTGGATTGAGTTTATTTCTGTTACTTGAATGCAGTGTACTCCATTGTGTAAATTTACATTTTATTTAACCATCATCCTACTGGTGGCCACTTAGGTATTTTAAATTTCACTATTATAAGCAAGAGTTCAACACGCAAACTTGTTCATTTACTTAAACATGTGAGAGTATTTTTCTAGATATGATGATTTTCCAACCGTGGATTGGAATTGAGTTAGTCACTTTCCTTGTTGCTGGGACAAAGTACTCTGTGGCTACAGCTTAAGGAAAGGTTTATTTTGGCTGGGGGGCTGGCTCCAAGGCAAGACAGCAAAGCAGAGGGACATGGTAGAAAGGAGTTGCTCACAGCCTGGTGGACAGGAAGCAGAGAGAATCAAGGAAGGAGATGCTCCCTGATTCTCCCTTGAAAGGAGACCCTCCCAGATCGTGACCCTAGTGACCTGCCTCTCCCAACCAGGCCCGCCTCCTAAACAGCGAGTCAGTGATGACACCTTCCTAACTCAGTCACCCTTCAAAATCCCTGTCTAGGAGTGATGAAGCCCTTGGGAGACATCTAGATAGAAACCGTGACAGGAATATATCCCAATTTAAAAAAAAAAAAATCAGTTTAAAGGAATGCGAGAAAGAAAGAAAAAAAATGGACTCAATTATAAAATATTCTAGTCCATTTCATTTAGTAAAACAACTACCGGTTCATGAATGTTTTGCTTCATTTCCATCTGGATAAGTGTACTTGATTGAGATGGGGAATATATTTGTCCTTACCAAGATACTCTGAAGACATGTGCCCCGGGTAAATTTGAAGTGTGGAACCAGCAGTTCTGCCTAATTGCTTAAAGTAGTTCTACTCATTTCCATCCCCACCATGGAAGTCTAAGGGTGCCTCTCCCTAGAGCGGTTCCAACACTGGCTATCAAACGTAACAGTTTTGTCAATATGTGAGATTCCCTTGAGATCTCTCATGTTGATTCATAAGGGTTGAGTTTATTCACACACAACCTCACACTTTTAATTGGTTGCAAACATATGATAAAAGTAACTGTGCTTCACTCCTAATTTCTGAGCCATGAGCCACTGACTTGTTCTCCACAAATTTAGCTCACGGCAACGGCGCTCTACCCCCACGCTCCTCAGCCAAACCAGACTGTCTTGTCTTCCCGGCCCTGGCTCTCTCTTTAGACTCTTCCCGTGGCGTAGCTCCACGTCTCCAGCTGAGCTCTTACTCTGCATTTTCATATTCCCCAAGCACATCTCAGGTGCGGTCCCTCCCTCCATAGTTGTCAAAATGTCCGCTGGGGGAGCCTCTGAGGGCAGAGTCTGAAGGGCTGGGCTTCCGGCCCTCACCTAACTTCATAGAGCCGCTCAGCCTTTTTCTGGCTCTGGTTGTCATTTCCTGAGAGTTCATAGAAGAGAAAAAAGGTTTTACCGTTAACAAATGTTAAACTGGTGTCCGGCGCTGGGACCTGGAGTTCTCATCCTCTGAGAATTTGGGCTCCTTTAGTGAGGAACAGACAAGGGTTTGTGTCCCCATTCGTTCATTAAGGTTGCTTAAGACCAAAGTCATGAGAGCGAAAACAGGAGCTATCCATTAGTCAATAGCAAAGTGATGACCAGGCTCAGAGCAGTGACACTAAGGCTTCTGGGGTCTGGATGCTTACTTAGTGTTCCCCAGTTAATGTCTAGTTTTATGAATGAAAAAGATAAAAATCAGAAGAGGAAACAGGAAAAAGGTCAATGCGATGGCAAGAAAACATAGGCATTTTTGAGTGTGCACTGGCAGTGTGAGTGAGGAAACCTAAAACTGTTCTTTTAACTCAACAACCATCTTCCTTGGAGTAAATCCCAAGTAAATAATTTGTTAGACTTAACTTTTCCATAACTTTGTTTACTAATGAAAGCGAAGTCTGGCCTTGGGCACATGTTTGTCATAGACAGTCTTCAGAATCTGGGGGCATAAGATGTAACTGGAAGGACACAAGTCTGTTGTGAAAAATAAGCTTCTCCCTGATTTGGGGCTCACAGAGTTTATATTATGTGTGACCTCCCATTCAGAGACTGAGACAGTTGCTGGCCCAAGCAATAACCATTCAGTGCCTGGAACAACTGGCACAGATTCCCTCTGCAGGCCTGACCAAAACGCCTTGACCACAGCTTTGCACTGAAGACAGCCAAACAAGGTTCCCCAGACCCCTCAGGAAGACACTCATCCTAAATGTGGCATTAGAGGGGCAGCAAGGACATTTCTAGACAGTTCCCAGGGCTCTTCAGGAGGGAATGGGTGATGGTCAACATCACACTGAGAGAGAGACTTGGAAGAAAACTAGATAGAAGACTTCATGGCTGCCATCATGGCAGACCCAGCTGTACTGGCCTCCCTCGAAGCAGGGGCAGCCTGGAAAGACAGGGACATTGAATTTCCTCCCCACTTCCTGCCTTGCAGTCCCTGCTTGTGACTGGCAGCCCGTGTCCCCCCGCTCACCTCCCAGAAAATAGAACCACTTCTTAGCCATCTTCGTCTTCTCTCTAAGCCGAGTTGGCCTCCTAGGGGACAGAAGTTTACGAGCAGCTTGGGAGTCCGTTGTCTTCTTAATTTTATTTATTTATATTTCACACTGAAAAGGTAAAGCAGAGTCAATGTTTTAGGTGCTCTCATTGTTTATTGTCATGACCAGCAAAGAGGAAGAGGGCATTGGGTGAGCAGCAGATGTGTTTCACACTCAGGTCCTGGGGTCCTCTTGTGCTATCTCTCTAGCAACCTTTCTATTGCTCAGGGCAAATGTGGCAGGGAGAAGGTGGACAAAATAGTACAAGTCGAACATCCCTATCTGACATCCACCATGTTCCATAGTCCAAAACTTTTTGAGCATTTTTGATTTTTGGATTGGGGGGTTCAGTTCCAAAATGTAAAAATCTCCCAAATCTGAAACACTTCCTGTTCTGAGCATTTCAGAAAAGAGATCTCACCCTCTATCAATGATGGTGAACCTTTTAGAATTTTTGATGACATTTCAAGGCCTTACATCCGGGGTTGGCTACATCCCCCTCAGACCTGACTGATTCTGTGAGCCTTTGGGGGTAAGTCTCACACCCCTCACTTCGAGCATCATAATCATACTAGGTGTTTCTGACCTTGCTCCAGTCTTGGGCTCGCCCTTTCCTGACGCAGAACTTCTCACATGGAGTTTGGTTTTTCTCCTGGTAGGTGACAGGTTGAGGAAGCCAGAAATGGCCGTCCCCCCACCAAAAAAAATTAAAGGTGCACTGGGAACTCTGTACTTATTATGGGAAACTAGGGTCTCCATCAGGGTTTGGCCAGGATTTCTCTCAGCAAGCTCCACCTGAGTCTGGGCCTCCTCAGCCTCATGTCTGCCCTGCTGCTACCTCACTCAGTTCACTTCTTCTCTTACAGAATGGGCCCCTGAGGAGTGACATGGACAAGCTGGCTGGGGTGCTGCACTACCTGCACCAGGAGGTGAGGCTACCTTCTATGCCCCTCAAGATTGGAACCCTTCCAAAGGCTGGGGGTGGGTTCTGGTTAACTCTGCCAGAGTGGGGAAAATGGCCTCCTCAGAGGGAGAGCACGAGCCTCAGGAGAGGACAGCGCCAGAGGATCCGCCCTCTCAGCCTCTGAAAGGACAGCACAGGTCAGGTTAGGCCATGCCACTCTTTCAAAGGATGTTTCCAGAAACATTTGGTTCCTCCTGGGGACCCAGTGGCCCTGCTCTTTCCCAAGGGCTCTCTCTGGCCAAGTCCGGAGCAGTGATAGCCAGAGGACTAAAGAACCCTGGCAACACGGCAGGGCTCAGGGCCTGAGGGCTGTGCCTGGCTGCTCCTCCCCTGCCCCTGCCCCTGTACTCCCCTGTCTGTGGCCCCTCTGGCTCTGTGCTAGGAAATACCCTACCCACCACGAGGGAGGTAAGAGTCAATAGCACAGCTGCAAGGGTGTCAGTCATGGACTAACCTCAACTGAGTATCTCCCAAAAGATGGTCCCCAAAGGCGCCCAACTGAGGGGTTCCAGAGAGCCCTTGGGCAGCCATGGCAACTTAGCAATCACCTTCCTATCCCTTGTGTCTTCCCAGGTCCCCAGAGCATTTGTGAACCTGGTGGATCTCTCTGAGGTTGTAGCCATGCCCCACTGGCATCCGGGGACTCGGCTCAGGTAGAAACGGAAGTGAAATGGGACTAACGTGTGCAGTGTGGCTGCCCTGTGCCAGGCCCTGCGTGGGCACTCCACGTGGGACCCCATAGGGGGACCCTAGGCATGGAGGCTGGAGAGGGGCAGCAGTGCGCGTGACTGGCCAAGTCGGGGGTGGTGGTGAAGGGCCTACTGTCAAGCACTATTTTGGGGACCCAGTTAAAGGTTTAAATATTCAGTCAGGTTGATGGAGTGCCAGAAACCCTCCCCCTACCAGAATGATCTGAGCCTTTAAAAACCGGCTTTAGGAAAACATCTCTAAGCCCGAAGGTGTTACTTCTGGAAATCAGGTAGGAAAGATTGTAGCCTCAGTGTATTTAGCTTCTCAGAACTTAAACTCCATACATTTTTGACAATTTTCATAGAATTTAAACTTTCTGGAACCAAATCCTAAAAATCCTGGCTTGGAACCAGGAAAATAAATTCGTGTAGGAAAAGTCAGGGCAAGGACAGCTGGAGAAAGGACAAGACAGGACCACCAGGAAGGAGGCTTTGAAGAGGAAGGAGGGAGACAGGGGTAGAGCAGGAGAGGAGGGGAGGGAGGAGGTGATCACGTCCATGGCCCATCCTGGCCCAGGGCCAAGATCTCCACACTGTGCCTCTGCACCCCGTCCTTTTTGATCCCAGCATTTGCCGCCTGTTTTCTTCTATTTCCCCTGGCACCCCAGCTCCGACCTCCCCACCCTGAGTGACGGCCAGGTCCCCCCAGCCCCTCTCCCTCTGGAGGTAACCCCCCCCCTCTCATTTCCTGTGGTTTTGACTCACAGCGGGCCTGCACTGGAGTCCTGTGGTTGCTCGGGGGAGACCTCAAAGCTGTCCACGGTCGTAAGGCAGTGGTTCTATCAGGTAAGCCCACGTCCCTGTGTGTAAGGTGGGGGCCATCAGTGCTGGGGTGCGGATTCTCTGGCGACAGAGAGCGAGGAGCTTGGCGGACCCATTCTGAAATGCTTCTCTCCTTACTGCTTCTACTGCCACTTCTGTGGCTGGTGAGCCAGTTCTCCCAAGGCTTCAGCCTGAAAGAAGCCAGGGCTCCCAGAGCCATGCACTTTAGCTCACAGGAGAGACCCTTACAGAGAACAGAGGACTCTGAAAGCCATCGCTGTCCTCAGCAAACCCTTGAAGCACGGTCCCCACTAACCTGAGCTCTTGAGACGACTTGTGTTTCAGAAGAGTTGTGAGTGAAGCTCGGGGGGAGCTGCTTCCACTGTGGAAATGACAGCACTTTAAGGAAGCTCGTGGCTTGTGCCTCAGCAGAAAGCACAGGCCTCGCAGTGTGCCTGGCTGCCTGGTGCTTTTTGAGTGTTCCCTGGTGCTCTGCAGGCTCTCTCTGGCATGGCCTAAGTCTAGGGCTTCGGGGGCAAGTGAGAACTCAGCATGAGTCACCAGGAGCCCTGAAGTGCGAGGTGAGGGGCCTTCCACATAGCGTGTCTCACCTGGCAAGCAGGATACGTGGTCAGAGAGAGGGGCCGGGCAGCTCCGGCTGGCTTGGGCTCCTGAATGCACCTCTGCTCCCTTCTCAGGAAGCCTGGGACCAGCTCCTGGTCTCCAGCGGCTTCAACAAGCAGGAATCCTTCGCAGTAGTTTTCCAGCCTCTCTTCTACAAGGTGTCTCTTCCTGGGGTGAGTGAGCTGCCTTTGACACCAAGGGTGCGGTGGTGGGGAGGCCTGGATCGCACATCAGCTCTCGCCCAAGGCCCTGCAGAACCCCCTCCCAGTCCAGCTTCACAAAACTTGACATATGTAGTCTCGGGGTCAAAGCCAACATGTGCTCTGACGCTTTCTTATGTAATTTACCTGCGGGCCTGCCTGGCCCCAGGAAGCAGGCTCTCATGAGCAGGGAGCTCCAAGGTGAAGAGCGGGGACCTTGGCTTCCATGCCTAGCTCGGGAATGGATCAGCTGTCTCACCTGGAGCAAGTGGCCTCTCCTCGCTGTGCCTCAGCTTGAACTCTGTAAAGTCAGGACTGTTATTACTGTTCCCTCCCTCAGGGGTGGTCAGGATTACATGAGCTAATTTACAGGAAGAGCTCGGTGCCTCTTAGCTGTTGTTATTCAGAATGGCATCTCCAGGGCTGCCAGCTCCCCTCCTGTGCTCACTTCTATATCCATCCCAAAGGGCCCCAGATCATGGCGCCACACTTGCTGAGCTGGTCTCTGCAGCCTGAGCCCTCCGGGCTGTGCCTAGGAGCTCTTACTTCCTCCAAGCCACTGGCTCCTGACTGTGGGGATCGCTGTGCGGCCTCCAGGACACAGTTTATAGCACAGGGGAGCTGGATATGGTGGCGCACACCTGCAGTCCCAGAACGCGGGAGCTGGAGCAGGAGGCATTGAGGCTGAGGCCAGTCTGGGTTACATAGTGAGTTCACAGCCAGCCAGAGCTACCTAGCAAGACCCTGTCTAAAGGAAAGAGAGAGACAGAGGAAGGCAGGCAGAGGAAGAGAAGCGCAGCGCCCCCATCCCAATAGACCACGCCCACACGACTCCCTGTTCCTTCTGCGTGAGACTTTGGTTCCAGAGAGCCCGTGACACACCGAGGAAATGGACATTTTTCCTTGCCCCTGCTGGCCCTGACCTTTGGGATCCGAACCCGCATGGTGTTCCTGTAAATGCCACTGATATTGATTGGGGTGGGAGGCTAAGGGGCAGATGGGCAGTGGCATGGGTCGGGGCCACCCAGCTCCATGCCAAGGAGAGAGCTGGAGTGCATGAAAGCCATCACATCCCTGATAAGCTCCTTTCTTACCTGCTTCTCTTCCAGGAAGGACCCCCGTCCCAGGACCCTAGCACACTTGCCCTGAGCCTCTGGAACAACATGGTGAGTGGTACAGGTGTGGATGGCCCACAGAGGGAGAGGCAGGGTTGCCACCATCACTGAGCCCCCAGTGCTCACCATCTGAGGAGGGGGCTGAAGGACACCAGGGATACTTCTCAGGCCTAATGCGAGCCCAGCACTCCCTCTCTGAGCTCAATCTCTTGGCCCCAGTGCTGAGCTACCTCTTGCCAGGTTTGGGCTATTGAGTGAGCCCCAGGCCTGCTGTCCCCAGAGGCAGGGCTATTTCCTTGGAGTCCGTTCAGAAGACCTGCTCTGAGTGGGGTTCTTGGCACCGGGTCCCCTCTCATCTCTGCCCCACTTTCCTGCATACCTCGGCAGCATCGTGCAGATTTTGAGCTTAGAACCAGCAGGGACTTCAGAATGGTAAAGACTGGGGTTCAGATCCAAATCCCATTGCTTACTGCTGTGTAGACTCAAGGTCTCCACTCCTTTCTTCAAAGCCCAGCCATAGCTAGGAGTTGTAGCACATACTTGTAATTCCAGCCACTCAGGAAACCAAGACAGGAAGATCTCAGATTCTTCAATCTGAAGAATTGTTTGAACAATTTAGCAAGACCCTGTCTCAAAAGATGGATGGATAGATGGATGGATGGATGGATGGATGGATGGATGGATGGATGGATTGAGCTCAGTGTGAGGCCCTGGGTTCAATCCCTAGATAGGAAAAACAAGCTTGACTCTAAGCCCTGAGCTCACACATCCAGTGTGCAGCTTAGTCCTTGCCCATAGAAAGGACCGTGCATGTGCTGGCTCTTTGTACTGTGACGATGACAGGCTTCCCAAATCCTAAAGGTGCCCCAGGGACCTTGAGGATCAGTCAGTGCACAGAATTCAATGCTTGGGACTTTTTGAGAGAACAAGGCAGGGACCTCCTTTTCCCATTTATTTTTCCCCATCCAAGCTGCCCTATTTTTAGAATTCCAGGGACAAATTTATTTTTCTTCTCTCTCAGACTAGAACCACTTTATCCATCTCAGCTGGTATGCTATGCCCAGTATGTGAGCAGCCAGTGTAGGACCGAGCAGGCAGGGAGGGGACAGCCCCACAGCCCCAATGGAAGGGAGCAGTTTGGCCTTCAGAGAAGGCATTGGGCAGAGATGATTGTTAGTGGACTTGACCCTTGGGTGCAGAGAAAGGACACCATGCTTCCAGGAGGGGCTGCCCTCCCAACCCCCGTCAGGCAGAGACAGCTTCGCCACACTGCTGCCCCCTCCTCCCACATCCACCTGTCTCCTCACCAACAACTGGCCCCTGCAGAATGCCTTGTGCTGGGAGCCAGGGAGGCGCAACAGACATCCAGGGTGGCCTCCGTCCTCACTGAGCTTAGCTCCCAAAGTGTAGCTAGGAAGGTAAGGTAACCGGAGCAGCCAGATAAGCAGACAGCCAGCGAGGTGAGCCAGTCATGCACCCAAAGGCAACACAAGGTGGGGAGAGGCTGGAGGTGGGGTTAGAGGTGTCTGAGGCAGAGTGAGGACTCGGGGAGTAAGAAACATGGAGAGAAAAGGGCGTCAAATGTGGCAGCAGGGACCACAGAGGGCTGGCTCCACCCCACAGGCATTGGGGTAATAAGAGCCAGAGAAGACATGAAGGCCTTGAACTCCAAACAGGAGCAGAGAGTTGGGTAGGGCTGGTTTCCTTTCTTTTATTTTCATCTTGCTGTTGATTGTCCTTGATGTTGGTAGCAGCGGTGATAATGAGCACCTGTACTGGGGTGTGGAGAGATGTACCTGTGCATGCAAGCAGGTGTGCTACACACCTAGCTTCTCCTAGCCTCCCGGAGGTCGGGAAGAGCAGGACACAGGAGCATAGAGGTGCTTACCCTTCAGGCCAGCTTTCCCAGAGTTCCTGGAGGTTCCTGCATCTCAGGAGGTCACCAAGGGTGTCCCTTCCCTAGTTTCCTTTTGGCGAAACACTGGGCTGTCCATGGTGCTGCTAGAATCCGCTGACAATTCCTGCAGGCCAGAATCTGTCCATGAGTGATCAGCAACAGATTAGGGTGAAGGATGCAGGGCAAGGAGTTAGAAAATCTGGGTTCTGATTCCTGTCCTGCTTTGGGTTGTTTCTTGAGGCAAGTGGCTTGGTCTTTCTGGGCCTCTACATTTTTCTACCTGCAAGAAGGGTATAATAACGCTCGACAGCCTCAGAGCTTGTGAAAAGACCAGTGAGTCTGGGCTCCTCCCCCTTGGGTTCAGTGCTCATGCTCCACTGGGACCAGGGATGGGCAGGGGGTCTTTGCTCCTTGATTTTTGCTGTGCTGGGCTTAACTGGGGCCACCGCAGGAAAAGCTGGGTGCACTTGTCCTGTGCTCACACTCACAGGTGAGAGGTGGGGGGGTGCAAAGGGGACAGTAGGGTTGCTGTGATCACGAGGCCCAGGACACATCTCTAGGGGAGCGGGTCTCTGTAGTGCACAGAGCCGCGTGCAGCTGTACACAGGCCACAGGACATCTCCCCTCCCAGCCCCAGCTCCTGCCCCTGACGGCATGAGCTTTGAGGTCAGGGAGGAAACGCTGCGCCTGCAGTGGTGTGAGCAGCCCTGTGGGCGGCACGCCTAGGAGTGTCCCACAGCATGAGCTCCAGGCGTGCAGCTGAGGAGGACTTAGCATTTGGGACAGAACTCATTCTCGGTGCCTTTCTGCTGCCACCTCAGTACTTTGTGGGAATTCTTATTCAGTGGTGGTGTTTAAGGGACCCACTTCTAAGGAACTCAAGTCCCAAGTCCTTTTAACAATCACTGACCCAACCTTGCCCAAGCCCCCCACCCCCGCACAAAGTGCTAGAGCCATTGAGTGGGGTAGGGATTGTGGGAGTTGCTCACACTTGAGTGAGAACTCTGCTCCTTGGGAGGAATTTTTTTTTTCATTGCTGGGGATTGAACAGAGAGCCTCACTTGTGCTAGGCAAGTGCTCTGCCATTGAGCTATGTTCCAAGGCCCCCAAATGAGGTCCCCTGTCATCCCTCCTACAGTAGCTAATTTCATAGTGGCAAGGAGTTAAAGGATCAGAAAAACAGAGTGAAACAGTAGTGTTTCTGCAGTAAAAGTAGTGTGTGTACTTCTGTGTGCAGCATGGGGTGGCGAGGGAAAGAGAGGTTCTTCGAAGTAATCGGATCATCTTCCACCCCTGCCTTGCGGAGGATATAGGGTTAGAGTGGTTATAAAGGCGATTAGCAGGAGAAGGATATAAGTGACTAACAGTCACATTTAGGACACGGTCCTTAAATGGATTTATTGGAGACAATCTATACATTTTCTTTTTCTGGGGTCCTTGAAAAATAGGCACAGCTCTATCCATTCTATCAGAATCCTTTAAATGTGCCTTTCTTGGGGTTTCTCTCCAGATTCTCACTGATTAAATTTTTGAAAGACTGGGGAAAACTAGCAGTGAGCAAGGGCTAAACACCCGCTTTGCCAACAGCTCTGAATGCCCTGAGCCACAATCAGAATAAAACTGAAAGAGGCATCAGAGAGCCCAGTTCCTCCCCAACTCCAGGGCTGGAGGGCTGCCACTCCCTCTCCAAATGCAACCTTGATTATGCCTCCTTATCTGACTCTCCTTACATTTGGTGAAAATCATTCTCAGTGTTGGGTAAAGGTCCTTCCTGGCTTCTTGTTTGCCAGGGTGCAGCTTCTGGCTAGGATACTGCTGGAGAATCTGAAATCCTCATGCCAGACACAGAACCTGTGACTGAGCCAGATGGAGTCCCCCAAGCTCGTAGCATCCTGCATCCCCTGTCAAGAGGCCACTGCCTGTGTTGTTAGGTGACCTTCCGGCTGTCGCTCCAGCAGCCGCCTGTTTCAGAGTTGGTCCCACACTGCCCATCCCTGAATCCCTAGTTATCCTGGCTGGTTGTGAGTGTGGGGACTGAACTGTGTCCCTTGTCTCCATGTCTCTCTGCCCTAGTTAGAGACGTGGGGCTTGAGTGACCCAGGCCCCACACTGGCTCCTCCCACAGCTGTGTAAACAGAGTAGCAGGGGCCCTTGTTATTTCCATCAAGCTTGGGTTTGTGTGGACACAGGAAGTGGGCAGGATGAGAGAAAGGGCACAAGTCATGGATTGGCCCTTCCTTCCTGTCTTACTCTCCTGTCCAAGGAAATGTGGTCGGTGAGCCAACTTAAATTGGGCAGTGAGAAGCAGGACAAGAAGTCAAGCTGGGCAACTGGCCCCAAAGGGACCTGGAAGCTGTGTGACCCCCGGGAGACATGTGCTTGGTCCAGGGCACCAGTGTCCTCGTCTCCCCTGCTACCTTGGCCCCGTCTCATCCTCTCTGTGTTCAATTTCTCCTGCACTGCCAGGATGGGAAAGTCCCTTCGATATCTAAATCCCACCAATTCCTCCCATGCACTGGTTCTCAACCTCCAGCCTCACAGTCACAATCACAGCAGCTGACTCAGTAGGTCTGGAACAGGGGCTGGAGATTTGCATTTGCCATGAGTTTCCCATGGCTCTAGTACTGCTGGGCCAAGCGCCAAAGTCTGAGAACTGCTGGTCAAACGTACCTGAGAGGACTGCTGCCTGCTGCCTACTTGTCTGTCCTGAAGGTCCCCTTTTTTCCTAGATGAAGCCTGTGGGACATAAAGATGAGCTATTCAGCGCCAAAGAGAGGAAGTTGATGAAGTGTCCATCTCAGGTAGGAAGGGCTGGGCTGAATGGAGGTGAGAGGCCAGGTGGCCTCACGGACTTCACTGAGAAGAGTCACCTGTTCTTCTGGGCCTGGGCACACTTCTGCATGCAGGGGCTGCCCTGAGGCTGATGTCTGTGGGTCAGGGGAGCCGTTCTAGCAGCTCAACAGCCTCCCACACCTGTGGAAGGAACAGCACCAAAGCTTACCTGGTCCCAAACAGTGGCTCCAACCACTTTCTCTTAACCCTGGCCCTGGACTCCAATGCCATTTCCAACATTTCCTCTACCTCAGAGTGGAGGAGGAGGAAAGAATGATAAGTATCTAAGAGCTCTTGAAGGTGGGTCATTCTGGTTATGTCTTAAATCTGTGGCTAATAATTCTGCCAAATAAATGGATGAGAAAATGGCAAAATGTGAATAACTTCTATCAGTTAATGATAACCAATTTGTTAACTTTTCTGATACACTGATAAGTATTTATCTTACTACACAATAAGAAGTATGTAACTCACCCTGTTTCTCTCCTTTGGCTGCCAAGAAGCCTGAAATTAAGTTCTATTCTCACTGAGATCTGTATCTTAGCCTAGTAGCACACACTCTTGCAGAAGGAAAAAGCCAGAGATGCTGACTTGCCAAGGAGACATTTCAAAGCACCACTATTCAAAGCACCAGTACCTTTCTGAAGGAAATGAAAGGGCAGCCCAGGGAAGAGAGGCCAGACGATGGCTTGGTCATCTCTGAGGGGATGATGTGAATGTTGTGAATCAGCAAAAGGCATTGCTGCTGGTGAGCTTTGATAATTAATGCATGCAGGTTCCTGGATCATGATTACCACGGGTTACCTTTCTCTGCAGGAGAGCCCCTACCTGTTCACCTACAGGAACAGCAACTACCAGTCCAGATCGCTAAAACCCCAGAGGCAGCCTGAGGTAAGAAAACGTCTTCTGGGATTGCCATACATTCAGGTGAACCAGGGGCCACTCCTCGATGCTGACTCTCTGGAAACTTCCATGTGTTTTCCCCTGCCACAGGTACGGGCCTTTGAAATTCAGTCAGGGTGGGCTGGAGGAGGGTGAAGGATTGAGTGTGTGGCCATTCCTCTGGGGCTTGGAAGCAGATTTCCCTACACTGTCACTCAAGAGCCACCTGTGGCATTATGGGATTTGGGGGTGTCTGTCTCCAATCTATTGTGACACTTCAGGACTTCCTAGATCTCAAACAAGTTCATCGGAGCTCTTCTGAATCCTTAATCTGAAGAAAACCATAGGAAAAAGCAGAGAAATGTGGTGAACTCTGGAACCACAGAGTATAGAAACCAAAAGGTCTTAAAGTCATCACACTCACTGATATCTTTCTTATGACTTATCTCAGTGTCACCTTTTGATACTTCCGGCTGAGATTAGATAGGGTTCTCTACTCCTCTGGGGATCTCACAAACACTTGAAGGTCAATGTCTTTGCTCTTAGGGCACTGGGGACCTAAGGGGTTGAGTGGGAGTTGATTGTAATCCTTACCTCTGCATTTCGTGAAGGAAACTGAAAATTATCCAAGTGGTGGAGGCTGAATTAGTGGTCTGGGCCTCCACCCTGAGAGATGCAGTGTGAAAGACTCTTGATTTACCAACCTGTCCCATCCTTTCTAATATCAAACCAGAGAGTACATATCCAGGGGGCAGTGGCACAGTGAGTAAGGCAACTGGCTCTGGTTCAAATCCAGACTTCCACTGACTGGCTCTGGGTCACTCAGCAAGGTACTTATCCTCTTCATGCCTGGGTTTTTAACCTGGAAAATGGTGACAGTAAGAGTTCTACCAAATAAAGTTGTGAAATTGCAATGAGTTAATAAATTGAATAGTACCTGGCCTGCCGTGAGTGCTTTGTAAGTGTTGATATTGTCGTCTGAAAAGAGGCAGGGATACATTCCTTTAGGTATATACGTATTAAGCATCTGCCATGTACGTCTAGAATGCAAGCTCAAGGCAGGAACTCAGGGTCAGGGGCCAGTAACTATTTGTTGATTGAAAAATGGATGGCTAGATGAATTCCAGACATAGGGAGTAAAAGCAAATAGGATGATATATTGCTTATCTGAAACAACTAAGTCAATGGGTAATTATAGCACAATGTAATAAGAACTATAATTAGAGCTTTCCTGGGATATTCTGAGAGCATAGAGGAAAGAAAGCTTTCCTAAGGGTGCCTGTGACCTTGGCCTTGAGGGGTGACTAAGGCTGAGCCAGGTGTAGGGAAGGGTGAGACAACGGAAAGAAGTTAAGGAGAGAATAAAGGGGAGTGTGGAATAGAAACACAGAGGCATGGAGGGTTGGGGACTTTGGCCGGGGTCTGAGAGTTTGGAGACCTCTTAGGCCATGAGCGGGAGAATGGACTTGGGGCTAAAGCTGATACAGAGGAGTCATTTATTTGTTCAACCCACAAGTGTCTGTTGGGCATTTACCCTGTCAGAAACCATTCTAGGCTCCGGGAACACAATAATAGATAACTCAGACAAAAATGCCTGGGCTGCACTGAGGATTTGGGAGGGGAAGACCGAGATCCTGTTGGGAGAGACCATTCTGAAATGACCAGAAATCTGGGAGGAGACCCACGCACTGAAGGTGGGATGTTGGTGAGGGCTGCCATGTTTCAGGCCAGAAAGAGCAAAGGTCTGAGCTCAAGCGGAGTAGGAGGCCTTAGGGAGGAGGCGACAGATCAGGAAGCCACTGGACAGGACATTATGAAGAATGGGACACCAGGACATGGGAGAAATTGTAAAAAACATCAAAGGTTTTTATTTTACCTTCAGCGATGTTTTTCCAACATACAGAGCCACTTCTCACTCAGTTTCTAAATTAGTAAGATCCATTTCTTCTTCTTTCAGGTGAGAGAAGGAACAGAAATCAGATGCCCTGACATGAGCCCTTCCGACTCAATTCCCACCTCAGGTACACACTTGTATTCAGTGATTTTAAAACTCATTTGAGGCCTGAAGTCATCCAAGTCAGAGCAACTTTAAGATGGCAGGGGATTTCCACACAACCTGAAATTCTCCAGAGCAGCTCTTCAAGGGCAATACAAATAGCTCTGTATGTGCTTGCGTTGAGGTGATTACTGTTTTGAAAAATGATAAAGATCAATATCAGACAGCACTTACTGAGTACTGACCCTGCGTTAGGCCTGTTCTGCATGATGCTAGTTGAGTGAATTGATGTCATTGACCCTGCCTTCAAGACTTGGTGGTTGAATTTGTTCTTCATAAAAGTAAAATTGCCTTCAAACAGAAAGCAAAATGGCCAGTCCATAATCGTCCAAATCCCCATCCAGATTCTAAGCACTCAAAGCTGCCCAGAACAGGAAAATTCCCATCTCTGCATTTTACTGCCTCTCAGTATTTCTAAAATGTCTGTTTCTGATAAAGCCATTCATGGACTTCTCAACTAGCACACTAGAAGAGGAACTGCCTGAGGGCCTGCCCCTTTTCTTCCAGCAAGGCAGCATGGGAGCTTTGGTCACGTGACATGTGTCTGCGGAGAGTCACAAGACAGTCATGTTGTGACCCATGGAACTCACGGCATTAGCACCACAGCACCAGTGACACAGGTTCCCTTGCTTGGTCCTGGAGGGTGATTGGATATGTTCCTCTGTTAGAGAACTGAGTGCTTCCTGTGTGCCTTGCAGGAGTTTGTATTCCAGTTGATCTATTACTCCTCATGGCCTCAAGATTATATGTTAAAAAAAAAAGGCAAAATTAAATTTAAAGATGTCACAGTGCCTACCTGGATGAAACATCTTTGCAGTCAGACTGTGTTCTTATACTGTGAGTAGAGCAAACAAATGTCCTGGTTTAGCCTGCCCTGCACACATGTCTTAGCTTTGTACACTCAAATGATGGGCATTTAAGTTAAGAAATCTTCTCACCAAAACCTAGATCTATAACTGATGCTGGTTCTAAGCTGTAGTAATGGGATAAGTGATTGCATTTGATCTGCTTTCTGTTGCTGTCACAAAATATTTAAGGCTGGGTACCTGGAAAGAAAAGATGTCTTTTATTTAGTTCACAGCTTGGGAGGCTGAATATCCAGTATCAGGTGGCATCTCCCTCTTGACTGGGATACAACATGGTGGAGACATGGGAAGGAACTTGGCCTTAGGCAGAAGGGGCCAAGCTTGTGGGTTGGCCTCAGTTTATAGTGACCCCTTCTAATGGGATCTATTCTAGGAGACGAATGTTAATCCCTTCCAAGGGCAGTGAGTGACCTAATTACCTTGCAGTAAGCCCCAGCTCTTAAGAGTTCCACCACCTCACTGAGAACCAAGTCTCTAGCGCTTGCACTTTGAGGGACAAAGAGCATCCAAGCCACTGGAGTGATAAAGATCGTACATATGCATGCATTTTAGTCTTCAGACTTCTTGCCCCCATGCTTCATTCCTATGGGCTATCTTACCAGCTGGACTTTAGCAGCAGAAAAAATGATCAGCTTCATACATAAAGTCTTCCCGGTAGTAAAATCCCTTATTCACAGATATGGCTTTGGATATATGTGTATATAGATGTGCATATTGAGATAGAGACAGATAGAATATCAATCTGAATGTTTTAATAGCCATACTTTTTATAGTGAACTAATATCCACTCCTTTTTAATCTTATCACTCTGGAAGGATGATCTATGAAACATTTCGTTATCTGTCTAGATTATGTCTCTGTCGTGACAACCATGACAGCCCATTTGAATATATCTCAACATCTAAATAGTAGATAAATTGTGAATCTCTTGTTTACTCCATGACCTGATGATTATTGTGTTTATATTGAAGATATAAAAGCCAAGAATCTCAAGGCCTTGGGATCTGAGATACCCTGCTGATAGGAGCCTTTTGCGTAAACAGAGTTAAGCCTTCCAGAGCTAACCAAGGTGGCACAGGACCAAAATGCTCATGGTTTACAACTGGGGACCCACTCACTGGTAAAGCTTGGGCTGCAGTGCTGTCTCATCTGAAAAGCTGCCCAGCCAAATGGACGATAATGAAAAACGTATGTCATGAATGTGCCATTGACTTATAATTAAGGATTCTCACCACACTTTTGACTGATGAGGGGGGCTGCAAAATCTCAGCATGGGACCACATTGTTATTTTCCTCTGATAACTGTCATGTTTCTAGTGAGTTCTTTCTCTCGACTGCATAGCAGGTTTGTAATTTCTGATCAAAATGAAGGCATTTGCTCTGCATAAAAGCTGGTCATCTTATTTTTATATCTTAGCATGTGGTAGGAGCCTGATGAATGTTTGTTGAATCACTTCTCAGAGTTGAAACAAATCTTTAAAAGCACCCAACCAAAGTGTCTTCTGTTACAATGATTTTTCACTAGACTGTCTTATAACTATTTTACCCTCAGAATTATTTTCAGAAACCACCTTAGTAGTCCTCTTTTCCAGTGTTTGCCTCAATCCACAGACACGTGGATCTAAACATCCCTGAAAGTGTTGTCAGAAGAGGTGCCTTCCTGTCACCCTGAGCCAGGTCTCTGCAGCCCAGGGCCTTGGTCTTCTCACACCCTGAGCTCTCAGGGGTGATGAGCCTGGTCCACTGTCCTGCAGGCCTTGGGGATGACGCGGAGAGCCAATATAAGTCGTTTCTTTCATAACCAAATAGTATTGGGTGGCCGATAAAAAATAAAAGCTTGCACGGCCTGCCTCCTGGTCTGTGCACATGTGCAATTAGCTGAGTGCCTGCTCTTGTGGGCTTTACAACTTTGCATACACTTGCACCAATATTTTATGTTACTAGCTGGTATCTCTATCTCATGGAACCGGGGTAACTAAGAAAAATCCTATGCTGGGCTGAGTAGCTGACTTAAGGTTTTCCAGTGAGGAAAGGAGCAGCTTTCTCAACGGGGTGGTGACAAGGAGTGAGAGGGGATGTGGTGTGTTGGCCGTGTAATGAGGTTGGCTGTCTCGAAGTGAAATCTCTAATTCCACAAGGGGGAAAAACTCAGAGATTTTTGCAGACAGATCCACAAAGCTTGTTATATGTTACTGTCACCAACAGTATAAGCCAGAATGGTTTGTTCATGTATTGCGAGCCATTATATCCATTACATATTCCCGTCTAAGCTTCCAATATCATTTATTTGACCCATTTAGCTAAATCGTGCCCTTTAAAACACTAATACGAAAATATCCATGTTATACCAAGCATCATGGCCTGTAGTGCCTGTAATCCCAGCACTCTGAAAGGTCAAAGTAGGTGGAAGACGAGTTCAAACCCAGGCTGGGCAACTTAGCAATTTAATGAGAACCTTTCTAATGTATTCATTCACTCACTCATTCATTCATCCAGGAATCATTCCTAAATAGATAGGGCTAGGGATGTAGCTCAGAGAGAGGGCCTGGGCTCGATCCCCACTGCCATAATAAACAAGGCCATGTTACAGCACGGGGTGGTCATTCTAGCAATTTTGTGCCACTCTAAGCCCGAGATAGAATGTTCAGTGTAGGTTCTGAAGCTGCTTCTGTGGTCACCGCTTGTTCATGGGGCTTGCGATTTGACCTAACCGGCCATCAGGAAGGAAATAATAGCCTGCTTGTCCCTAGGTGCAACCAGCTCATCGTGCAAGTTCAAATTCACCGTTGAGGCATTTGTCTGTTTCCCTGCACTATAGTTTTCATCACTTAAAGCTCAGAGAGCTTTAAAATCCTGCCACCAACCACATCGCCATTAACTCAAATTAACACTTACTACTATATATTTTAATTGACATGTAGTTGTACACATTTTGGGGATACAATGTGGCATCTCAATACATCTAAATAATTTGTAATGATCAGACCAGAGTAACTGTTACATCCATCATCTCAGACCTCCATCACTTTTGTGACATGCACACATTTCTTGAGCTCCTACTATGGGCAAGGTGCATATTTATCTATAAAAACCCATACCAAAGATTCCAAAGGCAGAAACAAGGTTCCAGTCTTGTGCCAGCAAGTTGCCCTCATTGTGGAAGTGTTTCCTTAAGTCCTTAAGACCAGAAAGCAAATGGGTTGGGCACCCCCAGCTGACAGTCAAAGGATTGGTTTTTCAGATTACAGCCCCAGGTGGGTCAAGTTGTTGGGTTACACCGGACGAATGTGAGCGTGCCAAACATTTCTCCTGGGATGAGCTTTTACAGTCTGGGGAACACTTCCCCATTCCATACTCAGCTGCACAGATTTACTCACTGTTGGAGATAGTTCATGGGTGCTCACTCAGATGGCCTTTTGATAAAGAGCTCCTTCCACGGGCATCTCGGTGAGTTAATGATGTGTTTATCAGCTTCTTTCAAGGTAGTAGACAGTTTGTACCAGATAATGTTTAGCTAACCAAGCCCCACCAGTTTAATCTTATCTCTAAATAGTACTTTTGCCAAAGAGAGCAACTGCTGAAGTTCTTTGCTGTGTGAGGTATGATAGAAAAATACAATGAATGCTTTAAATTTAAAACAAATTTCCTGCAATAGAAGATACATTTCCACTAGCCCCCACACCCCAAATACTCCCCCCTGCTTTGAACGCTCTTAACCTATCTTCTTGCCACTTTCTGAAGTGGTTCTGAAAATCATCTTTGGGGAGTATCTTTAATTTCGTGGTTGTGGCAATGAACTGATTTAAGACATTTACCCTTTTTGTGGTCATTTTGACTTTGGGGAAGAGCCACAAGTTGTATGATACCAGGCCAGTGAATAAGGTGAATGAAGACACAGTGTGATGTTTTTTACAAGCCTAGCTTTCTTTCTGTTGGATGGTGCTCAGTAGCAGCATTCACTGTATTTTACATCGCTTCAGAAAATGGCAAGATAAGTATGTTTGAAGTGAGGGAAAGTTTTTGAGGGAAATTAACGGTAGCATGTCTTTTATTGTAACAACTTTTTTTTTCTATTTAAACACAGACATATTTTGATCACCCTTTGTATTTAAGCCGTGTCTTTGTCATATGCGATAGCATTAATAAACCACAGCTCAAGGTCTACAGACTGTTAGACCAATGTAATGCATTTCTCTAAGTTAATAAAATCTAGATAAGTCAACTCTTCCCACCTACACCTATTTCATTCAATTTACCTTTTTGTTAGGAATCCATCTGAGCATCAAATTCCTTCCAGAAACTACCTACTCTACACATACACTTGCAGCTATGGTTTAGATCTAAAATGTCCCCCCAGATTCTTATGTATGTGGAAGGGGACTGGATCATGGCAGTGGATTCATCCATTGATGAGTCGAGTAGCTAAATGTGCTGTCAGGAGTTGGACCTGGTTGAAGGTGGGTCACTGGGAGTGGGACCCAGATGTTTTATTCTTGTTCCTGGCTCCTCTCCTATCTCTCTCCTTCATGGCCTCCATGGATTGAGCATCTTTTCCTCTGCATCCTGTTTTCTCCTTGCCAAAATAAAATCTCTACTCCTTTGAACGGGTGCTGGGTATTGTGTTTTAGGGTGGGAAAGTGACTAAGGCACCCACAGAAAAAAAGATTTGTGTGAGTGTGTGCGTGTATGTTGGTGTTTCCTTTCTTTCCACTACAAATGGAGGAGGCAGGACTGGTCAGTTTCAGCTATCTTTTTAGAAAAGCGTAATAATAAAGCTTTAGAGGCAAAATCTGCCATCTCTCCCACATTTTACCAACCCCCAAGATTTCCCCTAACCTTTGCTTCCCAGCGAGTGTTCAGAGAATTCACTCTATTATGGCCGCAAAAATGTAGTGATTGACTGTCATCACTGGGAGCTAAAATAAACCCCTCTGGAATGCAGGGGAGGGGTATCAGTTTCCATTTTGGTTGCCTTTTTTACCCATAGCCTGATTTCTCCCAGAAGGGGTCATTTTAACATCCTCACGCTTAGCCCTGTAAACGTGTGCTAATGTGTGCAGCTGGCTTTATGATTTGATATTGTTCCTCTAACCACAGAGTATAGCTGTGGGAAGCTGGGAGGGGCCAAGCAGGATATAATCATGTGGAAGGAGGTTGTGAGTGTGTGTGCACACGCACGTGTCTGTGCACATGCAAGGCAGTGGGGAAGGCTCAGGACAGACACCCCATACACCTCATGGCTCCAGAGTCTAAGGAGGCAGAGCTGCAAATCCACCATCAGACTCTGCAACATTGGGTCCACTGTATGAACTCAAGGCAGTCTGTGCATATACGCAGGAGAAACGGCTCCAGGCTTCTCATCTGCGAGTGCAGGAACAGACTACAGCCATAGCTTTAAAAATAAAAAGGTGTCTCTCTCAGCAGTTCTTAAAATGGGGTACCCAAACTGGACGGGCAGCATCTGCAGGACCTAGGAATTTGTCAGACATGCAAATTCTTGGACCCACCCTAGACCTACTGGATCAGAAGCTCTGAGAGTAGGGCCAGTCATCTGTGTTTTAACAAGCTCCCCAGCAGATGGATGTGTGCTCAAGTTCGAGGATCGCTCTCTATTGTATCTTGCAAACATATTCATAAGTATGTGTCAGTTTGTTGCTTTTCGTAGGAAGCGGTAGGGACTTTTCCAATAGAGCTAATGTTCAGTGGGGGTGGCAGATCCCCCTGTGCAGGCATCATGGAAAGAGGTGGGCAAGAGGTCTCCAAAGACCTGGAGATCCCTCTGAGCACCCTTTCTACCGAGTGTCATATGGCTTCCTAGAAGTACTAGTCAACTGTGATTTGCATGTTTCTGAGTGCTGTGGGTTATACGGAGCCCACTTGTCCTGAAAGTAACTTCTGTGAGTCACTGCAGGTACCATAGGTTGTCTTGGCAAAGAAAGCCATGAAGAAGGCCTCCCGAGGACAGATTTCAGTTTATCCATCTTAAGCAATGGCCCACTCTAGGTATAGGCTTCTTCCTCCTGGGTGGCCACTTCCTGGAGAAAACTGTATTAAACTTCTGCCAGGGCAGGACAGCTATTTTAACAATTTAGTGCACCACATTATACCACGAAGGACAACAGAAGGCACAAGTGGGGACCGTGGCTGTGTCAGGGTGGCCTGAGCAGTGAGAGGTAAACTTATGGCTCGAGGGACTGTACTACCTGTGGCCCAGAGGAGTGTAGGCGTCATTCTGGACATGCACTTGGATTCGTGTTGACACGTGTGTCAGGTAAAAGGGACGGAGAGATACAGGACTAGTGTATGCGTGTAGCTACCTATGCAGCAATAGTCACCGATCTCAAGACTTCTCAGCCAGGCATGGAAGGCCTGTGGCGCAAACCTAACTTCTGATGCTTTTGGTTGCTGCTGCTGTTACCTCCTTCCTGCACCCTCCCCGGAAGCCAGACTGTACAACCAGCTGTGCTTTACAGATATCATGTGCTTTGCTACACACCACATCTGTCCAGCCTTCCGTCCATCACTCGCCTTGCCCTCCCCTCCCTGCCTCCCTCCCTCCCCTCACCATTTCCTGGGAACTAATTCAACACCTCCTCCTCGCCAAGGTCTGTTCTGACGCTTCCCCTGCCACGCCCCCAGAGGACTCACCCTTCCAGCACTAGATCATCCCCCACTTTGCTCCTCTAGCCGTGTTTTTCGGGCTCTGAAGTCTTGTAACCACATCACAGCAGATGCTTAAGTCCAAGAGATTTAAAAAAAAATGGATAAAAATGTGACACATCCACTCATCCAGTGTCATTCCGCTGGTGGAAGGAGATACCGGCATGCGCTCCAGCATGGTTGAACTTTGAAAGCATTATGTAGAGTAGAACAGGTCATGATCTGTTTATCGGAAATACACAGAATGAGCAAATCCATAGCGACAGGAGGTAGATGACTAGTTGCTAAGATCTGAGACAAAGGGGATGTGAAGTGATTGCTTCGTAGACAGAGGGTCTCCTTTTGGGGTAGTGAAAATGTTTAGGACAAGACAGTGGTGATGGTTTTACAACATTGTGCTTTCACTAAATTGTTTAGCTTAAATTATTTTATGTGACTTTTACCTCAGTTACTGTCATTGGTATAAAAGTATTTCCCTTTTCACTCTGGAGAAACTGAGCTGATCTTTTATAGGATGATGGAATATTTTATCCCAAATAGTATCAAAATGAGGAGACTGGCAGATGAGCTCCCTGGCCGCGACTGCTGAGCTGATGTGACGTGATGGGCTTTTCATATCTTCCACTCAGGGTGCATTGCTAATGAAACGGAACCTTTCTCCAGTCTGCTGGACAGTGTTCATTGGTTTGGGGGGAGGTAGATCCAGGGCACCCCTGGAACCCATTTTTCACTCACTCCAGCTTGCGTTCTCAGTTCACAGGCTAAAGCCAGCTGACATCAAGGTCATTGGTGCCATGGGCGACTCTCTCACGGTAAGTAGTTTCAATTATAAAAGAAAGGAGCAGGGGAGGGGATTTTGATGAATGAGAACATGGAGGCGCGGGTGGGCGGGGAGAGGCTTTGCTTCTCACTGCTAAGTGCTGCCTCATCAGGTCTAGAGCCCCAGGTCCTTCCACTCCCGCTGTCCTAGCACCTAGCAGTCCTTTCCTCTTGGGTCCTCCCACCTCCGTGCTACCCAACTTGTTCCACTGCCAGTGCTGGAATTGAAAGCCCCCTGCCACAAATCACCCAGCCCATCAGTGGCGGGACTTTGTTGGCTAGATCTGCTGCTGTGTTTTATCCACCTAGAAAAGCTAGGGGCCGGGGGTGTAGCTCAGTGATTCTGCCGCCTGCCTCGCAAGCACAAGGACACAAGTTCAATCCGTGGTACAGAAAGAAAGAGTGGGGACCCCCCAAAGGTGACCAAGCTCACCTATACGGGTGCCCCATGCTGACACCCCAGATTTCACAAAGAGCAATCAGAAAATGAGATCCTTAGAGAGCCTGCACAGGGATCCCAGAGATTCCCAGACACAAATTCCTATTCTGTAGTCACTCATAGAGCCAAGCTGCTATCCCTGGGTCAACAGGACACAGGCCCCAGCTCAGTCCTCTGCCTGATACCTTTCATGTCTAAGCCCTATTCGCAGTGACATTCACACATTCAGAACCCTCATGACAAAACCTGGTGAATCTCACTTTCCTTACATTCCAACAAGAAGGTCCCTGCCTCCCCAGCCTGCAAGGGCTACAGCCAGCAGAACTCAGAGATGTGGCCCTAAGAGTGAGTCCCATCCCTGGACTATAGGGGCCTCTTCCACGACCTCAGCAGCCCCTCACCCCGAAGGCCTTACTGCTCGAGACCTTCCAGGAAGGTCTGGTAGGCTGGTCCCTGGTACGTGCAGCTCACCTTAATCCTGTCCTGTTCCCTCTCCTGGTCTCCTGGAAGATGCTTTTAGGACAAGAAATCCTCATGAACCACACAGCTGCTCAGGACTCCCTGAGGAAGCAGCATCTTTGAGCGTGGTGTGCCTGGAAGGTGGCAAAGGACCTGGGCACCATAGAGTGGGATGTGGCTAGTGGGGGGCAGTCATCGGCATACCTTCGGAAGGACTCTGTATCGAAATAGCAGGCATTAGGCAAGGGCCGTATGCCTGCAGAGTTTGACTCAAAACAGTATGGCGGTGCTCACCTAAAACCCTAGCACTCCAGAGGATGAGGCAAGAGAACTGTCAAGTTCGGGCCAGCCTGGACTGTGTAGTGAGAACCTGTCTCAAAAACAAAAGCCCTATCTATGCTCACTTCAGCTAGGTGCTAGGTGCATAGAATTCTGTGGTATTCCTATTTTTAAACTGTACCAATGTAATGCATAATGAGATGTCTCCTTTTATAATGTGCGTCACAACTTTTAAAAATGAGAAACAGGGCCGTGAAATAAGTTTCTTTGAAAATCCCTGCCACAGCCTGGTTTCTCCTGGTCCTGGTCCAGGCAGGGCTCAGTGGGAGTTACTGTTGTCTCTTATGTACTGACTTGGCACCCACAGGGTCCTGGCCAGGACGTGGATCTTCTGGCAGATGCGGGGCTGGAGGGCGGGACACAAGGGAAACCCACTGCTATTGTTCCCTCTCAGGCAGGCAATGGCGCTGGTTCCAAGCCTTGGAATGTCCTGGACATCTTAACACAGTACCGAGGCCTGTCCTGGAGGTGAGATTCCCTGAACCTGCTCTACAATTATGCCTCCAGCAGGGGGCGGGCCGCTAGTTCTTTTCCATGATCAACTTCCAGGTTCAGTTTGAGAAAGGTACTTAGCTTCCCCAGACCACTTCATTCTCCAAAACAGGAGGTGAGAGCCAACCAGGAGGAGTTTGGGGGTGAAAGTACGCAAACATTTGGGCTGGAAGTGCTGCTCTCCTTCCCATTTCGCCCTGTGTGGTGTAATCTCTCAAGGAGCCAGGGCCTTCGGTACCGGTGGTGTATCTGAGCCCAGTTGCCCAGCTCTGGGTGACCCTGGGCAAGTTACTCTGTTTCTCTGAGCTTGTCTCCTCATCTTGGACACAGAGAAAATAATACTGCCTGGGAACTGACCCGGGATGAGAGAGAGTTCAAGGGCATACCCCAGTGGCAGATCTAGGTGCTCACTGGCATCAGGATTGGAAGGCATGCATTTTACAGAGGAAGAAGACTGCGGGGGCAAGAAGCCTGGCCAAGGTCACAGAGCCAGATGTTAAAAGAACAGGCAGCAGAGCAGATGGTTCCGGACCCCAATCCAGTGCACCCTCCTGTCATGCACATGTGGCTTCATGCAGGCTGATTCCTGCTCCATTTATGATCCAGCTACTGCTCCAAGCTAGCTGCAGGGTCGGGACTCTGCAGTGTGTGGAAAGGCTGACTCGGGTACCTTTGGTATTTCCTCTGCCTGGTGTGTGGTGTCTCCATCTCATACAGCTTTAGCCTGAGTGAGAGGAGAATCCTGGTATCTACTCGCATGCCGCTGCCCAGAATTAAACCCCCAACATTTTGGAAACATTTTAGGTCAGTGGTGGCGAACCAATGGCACTCGCGCTGCCAGGAGTTTGTTGTTATTGAAAGTTCTAGACGGTTCACCATCACTGTTGTAGGTATTCTCGGTCAGGTTGGCACAGAGCAGAGGGTTGTAGAAAAGCAGGCTCCTGCCAACTCCAGTTGAATATTTTCACTCCTAGAAACTCATTTACCTTTTATTTCTCTGGAGTTCTAGCATTGGCTGGGGGATAGGTAACCCTCTAGAAGATGCCCTTTTGAAAATGGCTTTTCCTAGCCAAACAGGAGAAAGAGCAGGCCAAAAAGAAATTTTTAAAAAACTATTTTCACTACTAGTGATAACGCATAGTCACAGTGGCTGAAGGGGAGGGGCCGATCACAGGGCTTTGGAAGGCAGAGTGCGAGGGAGACTTAGTTCCCTGCCCCAAGGTCAAGGTCATTCAAAGGAAAAGAAAAAATGAAAAGAAAGATACCCATGATGGTTTACCCACCACCCGCCCTTTTTGGGTGGTGTTTTTGTTTTTGTTGGAAGGCTCCAATGTACAGGTAGAGAGGGAAGGGGTGGTATTTTGGTTTGCTTTTCAGTTCTTGGACCAAAAGATCAGGTGGGAAAGGGCAATCCTGGGCCATTGATAGGGAAATTTGTCTTGTTCGAGTCTGAGGTGCTTCGCCATCGCTGACATTCTAACCCTCCGTTTTCTTTCTCGGTTCCCACAAACAGCATCGGCGGTGATCAAAACATCAGCACGATGACCACGCTGCCCAGTGAGTGCGCAGGGCTGCCTGGGTGCGCGCGCACCTGGCGCAGGCTGCAGGGGACAGCTGCGTGCAGTAGGGGGCGCTGCTTCCTTGAAGCTATACGTGGCTCCCTGAGCGGATTAAATGTGGGGTGGGGGCCGTGGGCGCTGTGGTGGTGATGGTGAGAGAATCTGTCCTTGTCCAAGGAAGGAAGAAAGGGGGAAAGAGCTCAGACGAAACCTTAGTGCAAGTCACTAAAAAAGATTCACAACAAAAGAAAAGGCTTATGGCTGTCATTCTGAACAGAGCTCACATCTGGGAGGCGTCCATGAACCGAGGCAGCGGGCTACTTAGACGTCACTGCACACGACATTGTGTTCAGCGCGTCACAGCTGCCAGCCACGGAGTTACCTTGTTCAGGGTTTTCAAACGTAGCCCCATTTGGGGGCCCACAACGTTTTCCTTACATCAGCAGGAGCCTTTTGGGATTTTTTTTTCCTCGCATTCTCAAAAGGGCCTGGTTTTATTAAACTTCTTTCCCCCCATTACTGGGGATTGAACCCAAGGGACACTGAGCTACATCCCTAGCTCTTTTGATTATTTTATTTGAGACAGGGTCTTGCAACATTCCTCAGGCTGGCCTTCCTCACGAGGGCTCCCAAATAGCTGGGATTACGGGCGTGCGCCACCGTCCCCAGCTCTCATCCCTTTATTTTCCTCAGTACACGTGCATCTTAACATACAACTGCAATAAATGTTGACATTGAACTCTTTCCCCTTAAAATCTTCTGGCCAATCATTTTGTCCGAGAGGAATTTAGTTGGTCTCACTCTCGTTAACTTTTCTGGTATATATGCATCCCTTTCTTGTATACCTTTAGGTGCTAAGAAATTATTTGAATTTTAAGTCACCAAGACTTTGATGATAGGGAAGCTTAATCTCCCCATAGGCAGAACTGATTCAACTTAACATGTGCTGTCTGTTTTGGTTATTGGCAAATTGTGTTGTATTTAAATTGGTACAGTTCTATGCCACAAGTACTCCCTGTCCTTTTTATTTCTAGTTCCGCACACAAGAGCTATAAATAAGCTCCTCTGATGTTAAGATATAGTTTGGGATGCTTTTATGTGTGTGATGAACTTGGCTTTGAGATAGCCTAGCATATGGGTCTTCTCATTCCCAGGCCGTTACTGTGGACAAGTTGTTTGGAAATCATCTGGCTCAAGCTATTCCACCATAGCGATTTACTAACAACTGAGACAGTGTCACCCCCTCAGGTGGAGCCCCTGACACACTTAGCCCTAGGCAGCAGTGGCCATTTAGACCCTTTGCTAAAGATGTAAAAACCGTTTGATTGTATGGGCCAAATATACAGGGGGAGGGCCGTGGATTTAGCTCAGTGGTTCTGCCGCCTGCCTTACAAGTACAAGGGCCCAAGTTCGATCCCCAGTACCAAGAAAGAAAGAAATATATATATACAGGGGGAGGTAACTGTGTGAAAATGTGTTCAAAATTTGTGAAGATGTAGAGCTCAGGACAGAATCTCTGCCCAGCACCCTGTTCCATCTAATCCAGTGCTGGTTGCTTGGAAAATAAAACAATGCCCTGATGACATCACGTAAGTGTCTCCAGGGGCAGGGCTTACTAAACATGGACCCAAGAAGTGGTAATTACAGCCATGCAGAAAGCTCAGGGAAGGTAAGTGGGAAGACTGTGAACACTGTCTCCCGAAAAGAAGCTTCAAGAGCTGGATTCCACCAGGTAGGGGAAGGGAACGGAATGTTCTTGGCAGAGATCGCTGCATGTACCAGCAAGTTCTTGCTGTCCAGTGTGGAATTCATCTCTGTGACATTTCCTGCCAAACAGCTGGATTGCCTGTGCTTGATTCTTCCAGTAATGGGGAATCTACCGCCTCCCGGGGCAAACCATTCCATTTTCAGATAGCCCCGATTTCACGGTTCTTTTGAAATATCAGACAAATTTTTCATCCCTCAGTACAATGCCCTCAGAGCTGCAGGAATGAGTCCCATCCGTGTCAGGCAGTGGTGCTTGGTTCTAGAGAGCATTCATTCTGCTTGATGGAGTGAGACCCCACAGTCCTGATGGCCACCAGCCTGTCCCTTCCCCACCCTGGTAGATGGCCTGTGGGACGGGAGCTGAGACGTCAGGGTTCTAACCTAGGGTTCCATTCTCAGGGGCTGTGTGATGCTGAACAACTTTCCTAGCCAGTCTAAACTCCATTTTCTGATATTCCAGTTAATCCTAATTCAGTTCATAATTGTTTATTGAAGGGTATGTGAGGCCTTTGGATTTATACAGATTAGCCAAGCTGTGGACATGGAAAAATGAAAGGTTAAGTGTAGATCCAGTGTGGTAAAGGCCAATAAATGAAACAACTTAGATGAAATGGGCAAAATGGATCCCAAAAAGAGAGAAACCACTGAAATGAAATCAATAAGAAATAGCTGGGGATGATGTCACATGCCTGTAATCTCACCTACTTGGGAGGCTGAGGCAGGATCACAAGTTTAAGCCCAGTATGAGAAACTTAGCAAGACCCTGTATCAAAATTTTAAAAATAAAAAGGGCTGGAGATACAGCTCAGTGTTCCTCTGGATTCAATCCCCAGTAACATGGATTGGAATAGATATATAATGATAAAGATATTAAATTAGTAAACTTCCTAGCCTCCCCTAGCCAAGTTCTTCTACCAAACAGTAACAATTACCAGTCATCACAAACTCCCAAAATAAGAAGGCATACTTCCCGGCTCATTCTAAAGAGTTTTACCTCAATACTAAAAGAAAACTACAGATTAATCTGTTATGAATATAGATCCTCAAATACTACCAAAGTAAAATTCAGTAATTGATAAAAAGATTGGACCCCATTACCAAGTATTCCTTAGACCAGGAATACAAAGTTAAAAAAAAACATGAACGTCAACTAATGTTATATACTATATAAGTAGGGTAAAGGACAAAAGCCACACGATCATTTAAATGGGCCAGAAAAGGCAGTTAATGAAATCTAATAACTGCTTCAAAATGAAAACACACAATACAGTAGGAACGGAAAAAAAAAAAGTCCTCAGTCTGATAAGCATTGGTTAAAAGCCCACAGCCAACATGTTTCCTTGTGGGAGGTGAATAAGTGCCCCCTCCTCTGAGTTCAGGAAAGACAAGGACATGTTTCCTTCCCCCCACTATGCAGCAGGATCCTGGAGGTTCCAGTTAGGCCAGAACACTGAAAGGGAAAGCAAAAAAGGAATAAAGCTACCTCCACTTGTAGATGATTTTCTCTATCAACTGAAATTATTAGACCTGATAAGTCACTTCACCAAATTTACAGAATTCATAATATAGAAAAAATCAATTGTATTTCTATGCATTAACAATGAATGAGCTGAAAATGAAATTAAGAAAATAATTCCATTTATAATAGCATCAGAATAATAAAATGCTTAGGAATAAATTTAACAAAAAAGCACATCACTTAAATTCTTAAGATCACAAAATATTGCTGATAGTAATTAAAGACATGCCAGCCATGGTGGCTCACTCCTGGGATCCCAGCACTCAGGAGCCTGAGGCAGAAGGATAGCCATGAGTTTGAGGCCAGCATGGGCTACATAGTGGGTCAGAAGATTTAACTTTTATAAGATGGTGGTGTTTCCCAAATTAATATACAGATTCATTACATCTGAATTTGTAGCAGAAATTGGTAAGGTAACCCTAAAATTTATGAGGAAGCTCAAGGAACCCAGAACAGACAAAACAATCTTGAGAAAAATTCAGAGGATTCCTACTCATGCTTCCAATTGCAAAGCTTACTGTAAAGCTATATTAATCAAGATAATGTGTCTCTGGCCTAAGGATAGGCACAGAGGTCAATCACATAGAACTGAGAGTCCGAAATGACCCTTTATATTTATGATTGACTCATTTTCAACAAAGAGGCCAAAACCAATTAATGGGGGAAACAATAGTCTTGGACAAATGACAGCTGGACAACCAGACAGTCACATGCAAGAGAATAAAGTTATGTTCCTGCCTCATCCCATAATTGAAAATGGATCAGAGACCTAAATATAAGAGCTAAAACTAACTCTTAGAAGAAAAATAGGAGCAAATCTTTAGGACCTTGGTTAAAGTCTTTTTAGATGTGCTACCAGAAATACCAAAGGGGGAAAAAATATATATGATTCTTTAAAGAATATCATCAGGAAAATAACAGCAGCCCAGAGAGTGAGAGAAAATATAGTTAATCATATATCTAATTTTGTTTGTTTGTTTGTTTTTGTACCGGAGATCAAACTCAGGACCTTGTACTTGCAAGGCAGGTGGCAGAACCACTGAGCTAAATCCCCGGCCCAATCATATAGCCAATAAGAAACTTATATATCGAAACTATAAGGAACTGAATTGCAAAAAGACAGCATAATTAAACATGAGTGAAGGACCTGAATAACATTGCTCCCTAGGAGACAGATGGCCAGTATGAGAGATGCTAGACTTCAGTAACCCCCAGCACAAATCAAAGCTGCAATGAGATGTTTCTTCACAATCACCAGTAATAATAAGGCAGGTAATAAGTGCTGGGAAGATGCACTCACACTCCGCTAGTAGGGATGTCAGTGGTGTAGCTGTCTAGGGAAAAAGGCTCAACAGCTCTTCAAAAAGTGCATAAGAGTTGCCATATGATCCAGAAATTCTACTATTATGTATATATCCAAAAACATCCACACAAAAACTTGTAGACAAATACATAGCACCATTACTCATAACTTCCAAAAAGTAGAAACAACCCAATGCTTACCAGCTGAAGAACAGATAAATAAAATGTGGTTCATCTGTGCAGTGCACTGTTACTGAGCAATGAAAAGAAATAAAATATGGGACCGGGGATTTGGCTCAGTGGCCCTGCTGCGTGCCTGGTAAGCACAAGGGCCCGAGTTCGATCCCCGGTACCACAAAGCAAGAACCAAAATACGTGTGCTACAACACGAGTGAATTTGAAAACATGCTAGGTGAAAGGTACCAGTCACAACAAAAGCATACTCAGCATGATTTCGTTTACATAAAACATTCAGAGTAAGCAAATCTTTAGAGGTAGAAAGCAAGTGACAAGAACGTGGACTGACTGCTGATGGGTACAGGATTCTGGGGAAAAGAACGGGTAAAGGTGACCATGCACTGGGTGTGGTAGCACATACCTGTGATCTGGCACTCTGGGAGGCTGAGGCAGGACTTTGAACCCAGCCTCGGCAACTTAACAGCTTCCAAGATCCTGCCTCAAAATTTTACAGAGAGGGACTGGGGATGTAGCTCACTGTAAGGCTGTGGGTTCAATCTCCTGCACCACAGAGAAAGAGCGAATAAAAATAATAAATAATTATTAAAAGTAAATGTTACTGTAGTGATGGTTGTATAGCTACGAATATACTTAAAAGCTATCAAACTGTGTGCTTCTAAATTGATGTACTTTATGGTATCAATTATATCTGGATATAGCTTTATATATTTAGAAAAAGGAAAAAAATGCATGAGAAAAATCGCCTAACTGAAGCGCGTGCGGCACTTATTAGGTGCCTACTGTATGCTGCCCTATGGTGAGGCATCCGCCTGCTAAGCATTTTATTTCCACACTGGGTGAACTGAAGAATGGGGACTCTGCGTTGTCCCCAGCATCCAGGGACACTCGTCAAAGGCGCTTGAAGATCACTTTAGAGTAGCTACTAACCACGTCTCTACATTTCCAGACATCCTGCGGGAGTTCAATCCTTCCCTGAAGGGCTTCTCCACCGGCATCGGTACAGAAAAGAGTGCTGGAGCCTTCCTCAACCAGGCTGTGGCAGGAGCCCGTGCTGAGTGAGCCGGGGCTCCCAGGGGGGTGGGGGCCAGAGAGGGGGGTGTGGCCTGGAGTGGGGTTCCTGGCCCAAGGCCTGGGGCTTGGTCTGCGCGAGGAGCCTGAGGTTCAGAGGCTGGGCTGGTCTCTTGGGGGGTATTCTTGGCTGTCAGACGCAAATCTGGGAGTGTCCCCCCTCCAATTCCCCCAGTAATTAGGGACAACCACTCTGTTATTTAGCTATGCTTTGCCTCATCTGACCGTCTCCTTCCCATCCTCATGTGGGCTCTGCCCTGTGTCCTTCCTATCTCACAGGGAGAGCAGCAACCTAGAAAGGGCAGCCCTGTGTCTGAGTCCTGGATTCTTCCCGGGTCTCTCTACAGGGGGTGCTGGCTGTGACCCTCTCTCATGGGGCGGGGGTGGGTGTGCAGCTCGATCACCACCTTGGATGCAAAGTTTGTGTGAGCCGTGACTCGGGTGCTCACGCTGCATGGGGATGGAGGTCCCCGCAGTGGTGCATCAGGGCTGCAGGGCCCCTGGGAACTACAAGGAAGCACAGAGATCTCTGTGCTGTGGCCCATAGGCAGTGAGTGGCTGGTCCCCAGGAGCAAGCGGGCAGCTTTCCTGGTCCCAGGCTCTTTGTTCTGCTGGATTTCAGAGCCTTGGGTGCCTCTTGGGATTTGCTGCCAGGTCTGAGAACAAGTATATGCCATACCCCGCCAGACAAAAGAAAAATGGAAAGATCCTTTTGCTCAATCCTATTTTTCTCCCAGAATAATACAGATCTCACTTTTCCATGTAGTTCCTAGGATTCCTGTGGTTTAAATCTTAGATTCCCTAATGTTCTCCCAGCTCTCAACACCACTGTGAAACTATGAAGCTCCCAAGTAGCTTTCCATTTACTCTGATAGGAAAAGTGGGTCATACAAAGCCTCTTCAGGGAGGAGGGAAAAGTCATTGATTTGCTGCTGTAAATTTTTGCCTTGTAATGTTGCCATGATTTTGCTTTTCCCAAGCATACGTCAGTTGGCAGTGTAAGAGAAGAGGCAGTTCTGAGTATGAATTGGTCAGAAAGGCGCTTACGAAGGAAATCTCGGCGAGGACAGCTTAGGAGTAACCAAAATGAGCATAATTCTGATGGCCCTGAGTTTCTGGCCCTGCTTTTCCTGAAGCCTTGGGGCTCCTCGGGTGGTAGGGAAGGAGTGGGATTTGTATATCCATATTACAGTTGAAACTATGGCAACAAGAGGCTAAGTGGCCTAAGCGGATGCTTCAAGTTGACCACACGGTCTGAACTTGTGTCCTGCAGGCTTCGTTCCAGGGCTGATCATAACCCTTCCTAGATACACGGCAGTGCCTCCATGTTTAACGTCCCTCATGTGCTGTGTAGGGACTCTGTGTGATGGAGCAGAGGGTGATTCTCATGTTTTACTAATGAGAAAAATTAAGTCCCGTAATCCTCACAAAGGTCTCGTCCTTACAGTAGCTGCCCTAATAACTTCAGATTTATTGACGAGGAAACCAAGGCTCAAATAAGCAACTTACTCACAGTGCCCTCGAAGGTGATCTGATAGCCACTGTGACCAAGATCAGGCCAGTTGGGCTGAGAGGAGGAAAAGAAAAACAACCAATATTTTCTGCTAAGCACTCATTCATTCTCGATGGCGATGGGAGAAACAACTCAATGGATGCTTCCCATGTGCCGGGCACTGCCTTGACTTCTTCATGTGGTACCTCATTTAATTCTCCCGACACTTCTGTGAAGAGGCTGCCTATCAGCCCTATTTCACAGATGCAGAACCTGAGGGTTTGCAGGGTAAAGTATTCTGCCAAGGCCTCGGTGCTGGTCAGTGGCGGGACCAGGATTCAAACCCTCTCTGCCTGGTACCTGCAGTGGTTCTTACTCCAGGGAGCTGCTTTCCTGGTCTTCTTTACTACCCCTAGGGCTCTCTAACATAGGCATTGTCTCTATCTTGCAGTCTTTTTAAACTGACAACTTCTGTCACCTTCACACAATCGACAAGAGGCAACTAAATATCAAGTCAGGGGCACCCTGCTCAACCACATTGCCCTGACAGTGGGGTGGGGAGCGGGGGTCATGGTATCTGTCAAAAGGGACGTGTGCTGAGCTATGCAGGACACGTACATGTAGACTTCTGTTTGCCTTGAACGAGCCTGACGTGGAAAAGAAAGCAAAGGAGATCATCAGATGTGTCACCCACAGAATAGTCACAGTGAGCCTCACCCCTTGGGTGTGCAGGGCCCTCCCCTTCCCAGGCAGAGCCCTACCTTCCTGCTGCTCTTCTGTGCAGCCTGGATGGGGAAGGAGACCTGTGTCATGGTTTCAGTCCTGCCTTCCCGCGGGACCCGCCTCCCCGTATCTGATTTCTGTTCCTTCTGCGCAGTAGCCTTACCAATCCCTGCTTCTCACCCAACTTCCTCCTGTGTTACCACCACAGGAATTTAGCTTCCCAGGCCGAGAGGCTGGTGGACCTGATGAGGACTGATGCGGTGAGTCTGGAACAATCAGGGAGGGCCTCCCAGAACAGGAAGTGGGTGGGAGCAATTCACGGACCCAGAGAAGACCCGCCGTGGGTCGAGGGGTGCCTGGGAGCCAGGCCAGGTTTCTAGCGGGCACCTCTGCGGCAGGGTTCTCATTCACTCGTTCACACCGTCAGCCAGCCAGCTGTTCACACCAGTGTGAATTGGGCACCGGGCTGGGGCTAGGGCTGGACATACCCGGGGGACCATGACACAGTACTATCCTTAGGGGGCTTAGGCGGAGGCTGTCATGAAGAGTGAGGGTCAAGAAACAGTTGACGTGTGTCTCCTAAAGAAGGCTACAAGGAAGAATAGGCCACAGAAGAAGGGACAGGTGGTCCACTCGAGGGGCCAGGAAGGTAGACGGAGATGCAGGCTTCTCCAATGAAGCAGATTCGCAATGTGGACTTTATTTTGCAGCTGTTCCCAGATGGCTCAAATAATGAGAGGGATTGGGATTTATTTTATATAACTATATATATTATATTTATATATTTTATATAACTACATATATTATATTTATATATTATATATAACTGTGCCGTGCAGTCTATCATTGGGAGTTTTCAGAATATTTCCATTTTAGTGTCAAACTTTTCTGAATTTTGTTTCCATCTTTCTCCCTCCACCTCTTTTGGAGGGTTAAGTCAGAGAAGCAGAGTTATGCACGCCAGGGACCATGTAAGGGGCTGTGAGGGCCGTAGCTCTCAAGGTCGCAGTTTGTGGAATGTGTACGGCCACACCCCTCCGGCCCGGCCCTGTGACTTCAGACGCCTCCGGGTCCCTCTTGGAGGAGGCAGATGGCAGAGATGACACAGTCCTGCCCAGTTACTCTGACTGGGCTCTGAGTTTGCAGAGTTCCCTCTTGATGGAGGATGGCCCTTAAGGCCACACGGCAAAAGGAGAATTTCAGATTTCTAGAGATTCCTAGAACAAACCTTCCTTTCCCAGGGCCAGGGCCAGCACCAGTGCCAACATCAGCATCCTTTTCGCCCACCCACTCACACACCACGCTAGGGAGGGGGCACCGAAGCTCAGAGGACTGTACTCCCACCGGTTTGGTTGGAATCCATGAGCCGTGTGGAGGTCCAGAGCCCCACCTATAATGAGTGAACCATTTACCATCTATGACCCCAGCACCACAGATCTGACCGACAGAACGTCTAAATGTCTGCTCAACTCTCCAGCATGTGGGGACTTAACCCTTCCGGGGTTTAGCACTTGTGTTAGCCTTGACTTGATCCCAAGAGGCAGCTTACTTGTTTATTTCCTGTTCATTTCAGAGGATAAATTTTCAGGAGGATTGGAAGCTAATCACTGTGTTCATAGGAGGCAATGACCTCTGTGACTTCTGCGATAACCCGGTAGGCCTCCAGGCCCTTCGTGGCACCGCCCCCAGGGAAGGGTTCCCATGGTCCAGTTGCTGGCTCTTGCAGCAGCACAGCTAGGACAGGACCTGACTCATGGCTTGGCTTGGAGCCAGCCTGGGATTAACTCTGAGAACTGGAGGGCATTCACCTCCCCAGAGAGAGGCTACAGGTAAGCAGGGTTGGTGATAAAACTGCTCTGATGAAGTTTGCTATCAAGAGAACCTGATCGTATCACACTAGAAACCGAGATAGCATTCCAGCAATCTAGAAAATCTCGCCTGCCTTCACAGATAAACAACTCCCTTTGCTAGCGCGTGCCATGTCCCACTTTGCGCTGTCACTTGGACAGGAAAAGTTGATTTCCTACGAAGGCATCAAGGCAAAGTTCAGAGCTGTGTCATTTAGGGCCCATGGGAGCCCAAGGTCAGGGCTGCTGCGCTGAGTCCTGTGTTTCCTTCTGCAGCCCCTGGGTCTCTGAACTCCAGGACCCGTGAGGGCTGTGCCGTAAGCACTGAGCCAGCGGCAAATGAAACACAGGCTCTGTCCTGGGGGCTGGGGCCCCGGAGTTGGCTTTCTGTTCATTTAGATTTCAGTCAGGAGAAAAAAAAGTTCGCTACTTAAAAAAAAAAAAAATTGAGAGGCAACATGTTACAGTGATTGTGCATACCAGTGGTGATAGAACCCTTCATAACAGCTAAATCCTGGAAGCAGCCCTATGTGTCCCTTAGCAGACTATGTGTCCCTTAGCAAATATAGTATTGATACACAGTGGAACACTACTGAGCTATGAAGAAGGATACATTTGAGGCATTTATAGGAAATGGATACACGTAGACCACATGTAAAGTGAAATAATTCAGAGACACAAACATAAATACCGTATGGCTTCTCTCATTTGAGTAATACAATGTACAAATAAAGACAGAAAAAGATTGATAAAAGGAAACAGGGTGATAGATCTTTTGCAAGTGGAAAGGGGCCCAAGGGACCGAGGGAGAGGGGACGGGGAAAAGGGAGGAGACGTACAGAGATTTAAGATGCATCATGTACCAATTACTTACAGTGAATATAAACATATGTGTTGCAAACATAAGCTAAAAAAATCATAATCGGGGAAGGGGGTGTAGAGATGGTGGGGAAGGGAAGTAAATAAGAATCCAGATATGTACATGTACTTCTTGAGATGAAAGTAAGTTTTGTGTACTGGAAACGTGCTAGTAAAATTAAAAATTTTTAAATTTAAAAGGCACAAATATCAAGATCCACAGAAATAATTTAAATGTATGCTTGGGCAGGGACGTCCTTAAGACCCTCTGCTTCTCCTGCTGTCTCCTCAAGGCCCTTGCCTAGGATGTAGCCCCCACACAGAAGCAATGAGCCTCTAGGACCAGCTGTTAGCACTGCAGGAATTCTCAGACCCTGCTCTGGGATGTCTGTTCCCACAACCAACCCTGCCCGTTTTGGAGCGGCCCGGGGATGTGACGTACTTGAGCTAAGGCTGTATATCTAGTTAGTATGAGGCAGACACAGCTTTCCTGAGCTCCATACAAGAGCCAGAGCATATCTCCAAGGGTCACAGCCATGACAAATCCGAGGATGTGGAGTTGGGGTGAAGGCTGGGGTCCCAAAGGACCAACTGTCCCTTCCAATATTGTCCGCTCTGACTGAGATACAGGAAAGGGGACGGGCGACAGAGGAAGCAGCCCTGGTTGTAGAGAGATCGGGTGATGAATGGGGCTCAGGAGACATTTCTCTTCTGCAGGTCCGCTTTTCCCCCTACAACTTCACAGACAACATCAGGAAGGCGCTGGACATCTTCCACGCTGAGGTATGGGGCTGGGATACATGGCCTCTGAGAGGCTCCAGGGCCCTTTGGCTTGGGCCTTCGATGTCCTGCTGGGACCTCCCTGGCAGGTCTCTCTTGTCTGGTCCCCAGCAGTTTAAATGCAGTGCCAGTGGGGAGCAGAGAGGACGGAGAAGGAAGGGGTAAAGAAAGTGGATGGGCCTAGATGGAAATCCCTGGATTTCCTAGGAGGAGGAGGAGGCCCAGGCCCACTCGAGAGGCTCCAGCTGCCCAATCCTGCATTTCTACAGGTTCCTCGGGCATTTGTGAACATGGTAAAGGTGCTCCAGATCGTTAACCTGAGGGAGCTATACCAGTCGAATAACATCAGCTGCCCACGGCAGATCCTCAGGTCAGAGGAAAGCGTCTCTCTCCCTGTTCCTCATAGGGCCATGGATCCTTAGCAGATTTCTTTGTGTGTGTGTGCACACGTGTGTGTGTGGGGGGGAGGATATAAGAACACAGATAAAAAGCAGGGCAATCTTGTGGTGGGACATCCCAGGACTTTGGACCTGTTACCTCCCTCAGGGTATTTGTGGAACCCAATGCTGCTACTGTTGCCATGGCAGCCACAAGGTGCCTGCCCCCACCTCCATCCTCCAAGGAGGGGAGAGTGAGACTTCGAGGATGGAGCCAGGCCTCGTGAGCAGGGCTCAGAGAGCACATAGGCTGCCACAAGCATCTGCATCATGATGTGTCCAGAGTGCCACCATCCCCAGTCGGACAGTGCCTCTGGTTGGCAGCTCCAGGCTGGACATCCACCAATACGGGGCAGTTGTCACTTCCTAAAGGAGAAGGTGACCACGTCAGAATCAGCGGGGTCCCGAGAATTGAGTTCCTAGAGAACAGACTGCCCTGTGAGGCCTTGGGGACCGTCTTCACTCCTCAGCCTCCACAGCTAAACAAGGGTGGCTGTGACAGACATTTCTGTGACTGTGAGGAGCAAGGTGCCCTTAAAACCAAAGCACAGAAAATGGCCTTAAAATCAAAGTGTGACGTTTCCATAGTGTTCCCTCCTGCAAGTTCTCTGGGCCATTAGCCGGGCTCACAGTGCAGTGCAATCCCCCCGCCCCCACCTAGACACACCGTGTGGTAATTAGTCATTACCACGTGGTGATTAGCCCCCCTTCCACCCCGGAGCTCTGACTCACAGCTGGCACAGTGTAGGTGCCCCAGCCTGCTTGCTGAATGACTGAATGAATAATTCATAAGAGCCAGGCTCCTGGAAAGTAAGGCCTACTTTGGCAGATCCCCTGAAGGTCCGCGCCAGCCCTTGCCTAGGGGCCTGGACTGCACAGGTCCCTGGAGAAGGCCCCAGGGTGCTGACGGTGCAGACAGGATGGTTGCCGGTGACCTAAGCCTATTGACACAGCTTGTGTCAGGCGTGCTATTTCCAATGGCTGACTCATCTGCAGGCTCCCGCTTTCTCCAGTCACTAGGCCACGTGGGGGCTTGCTTGTGCTCTTCCTATTTCAGAGCAGCTCTCCAGAAAGCCTCCTGCTACTGGTTCCCTGAGGGTTTTAGACCATTAGAACTAAAGGTTCAGAGAGTCGTTTACCAGCTCTGCTTGAAGATCTGAAATGGCCAGGTCACTGGATGTCAGGGTCAGGTGGATTCAAGGTCACCTTGTCCTTGACTCGCCAGTGCTCTGCACCCCCTGCCTCTCCTGTTCTGTCTCAGTGGCTTAGATGACAGTGGCGATGCTGGGTCTGCCCTGAGCCATCTGCACTGTCATTGCGTTAGCCCCCAGGACCAACAGCCCAGAGATGGCAGGTGATGGACCCGAGCAGAGCTGCAGGCCAGCTGGAAGCAGTATAGTGCTTTAGGGCTCAAGTTTAACTGGGCGTAGTGGTGCATACCTAGAATCCCAGCCCCTGGGAGACTGAGGCAGGAGGATATCAAGTTGAAGCTCAGGCTGGTGATCTTAACAGTTTAGTGAGACCCTGTCCCCTGCCCCCTCAAAAGATTTTAAAAAGGCTGCGGATGTCACTTAGTGCCAAGACCCTGGATCCAATCCCCATTGTGGCAACAACAGTGCAAAAACTCTTCAGGTTCAGAGCCAAGGGAACTTGAGTTTAATTCCCTGCTCTCACACTCAGCATACACACGGCTGTGTGACCCTGAGAAAGTTACTCAATCACTCTAAGCCCCAGTGGTCTTCTCTGTAAAATGGGGACATTGATAATTCAACCTCTAGAACAATAATGAGGGTTAAACGGGTTGTAACCCACCAAACTCTTATCACAGTAGGGGCCACAGTCGCCATTCAGTGTATATCAGCCTCTGCACAGCACCGTCCTCAGACAGCCCCAAGGTGAACCAGCTCCAGAAAGTCCCCGCTCCGTGCACAGATGTTAGACGTAGCTGTCTCATTTTCAAAAGCAAAACCAGGGTCAGGGACATGGTCTCCAGCCTCCGCTGGCCCAGTCCGCAGATTAGGCAGCCAGGCACAGACTCCTGATGCTTCTCACCTCAAAGAAATCTATTCCGTTTCGAGCTGTGTTTCTGCATCACTGACCCGAGGGGTGGGGTGCCTTCTGGTTTTGGCTGTAGGGCCCTGTGTCCCTGTGTCCTGACGGCTGCTGAAAACTCCACAAACCTTAACTCCCTCATTGACTTCAACAAGAAGTATCAGGTAAGCTGGTGGGGGGGTTCTTGGCTGGCAGAGGGCTGCCGTGTGGTTTGCAGAATGAGGCCATGCTGAGGGACCTGGGTGGGTGGTGACTGCTGAGGGGTGGCCAGCATAAAGCCACCCAAGAGGGCACCAGGCCGCAGTTCAGCTCATTTGAGTGAAGCCTCAGTCAAATCACAAGACCTGCTTTACTAAATCCCGTTCCTAGCTTTATGGGAAAACAAATGCCGCCGCTTGTCACAGACAAGTGGGTATTATCTTAGTTACTTTCCTCCTTCCTGAGACACATTAACTGACTCCCAAAGTTAAAGGAGGAAAGGTTTGTTTAACTCCCAGTGTGTGGAGGTTTCAGTCCGTAGTCAGCAGGGTGGCCCGGCAGAGGGGCATCGCAGAGCAGGCAGGCAGAAGGCAGCAAGCAGCAAGCTATAAGCAGCCACATCTGCACCCCTCTTTCTGTCCCTTATGGTTTACCTAGGTTACCCACCCTTAACCCTAGCATTGCACTGTGAATCAATCCCAGCATTTCATCCTGCATCTCAGTATCACACACCCTAGATCCAGCCACCAGCTATGACTGCACCAGGCTTGGAGGCATCTAGATACAAGGCATGACAGGTACCAAGGAAAGAAGTCTTGGTGTGAATCTGTCTGAGCTTCCAGCTCCTAGGTGGGCAGTGGAAGCTGTAACACCTCCTCCCTAGAGGGTCTTGAAGCTCCCAGGGAAACAAGCCCTCCCTCCGTACCCCTCCCAGGAACAGCTGTCCCTGCAGTGTACAAGCAGGAGAGGCAAAGCAGGCCTGTCTTGTGGGTTGTACGTTAGTCCTTTCACTGTCAAATCTGACCACACAGCTAATTCCCTAGACCATCTTGAGTTCCCCCCAACACAATCATCCAATCACTCAAAGAGGACAATGGTGGCCTTCCTTTCAGAGTGGGCTGCAAACAGCTTACAGAGGTAATCCATCCTTCCAAAGCCTTTGGCCTCCAAGGATAGAACCAGTTTCCCACAAACTCCTCTGGAAGCAGCCATACTGTCTCAGTGTGTCAGGGGCTTATACAAATGAGCTTTTATTATCACCCTGTCACCTCTGCCCAGCCCTCTGGTGACTCCCCAGCAGTACTTCCTTCTGCCACGAGCAGGCACCTGTCACTGGTGTGGAGGTGCACACTCTGCACAGGGAGAGGAAAGATGGCTGAGGTTATGGCCAGGAGAGCAGCCCTGGGTTGGCTGAAGTGCTTAGAGCCAGCAACAAAGCGTATGGAGCCTGTGTCTTAATTTAAAGAGATACCATATTTAAGCAGAGTCTCAGAAGAGCTAGAGTGCTAGCTAGGGTCACAGGCTGAGCCCCCAGGAATCAGAGTCATAGGTTCCTAGGGACTGAGCCATAAGATTCAACATCAGACCAGAGACCTTAACCAGAGGAAACTTCACAGACAGCACTATCATTGCTGCCTCTAAGAACGGGACACAGCAACCTTCACCAGCAGAATGGACCCTGTCTGTGCCTGAGGTGGGGCAGGGATGGAAAGCCCTTGCATGGGCCCATGCCACAGTTACAAGGAAGGCTGGGGAAGCAAGCTGTCGTTTCCACCTTCTCCATGAAGGGGCAGGTGGTTCTGCCTATAGCGGAGGTCTTCAAATATAGGAAGTGGATTCAGATCCTGAGCAGACTAAAAGGAGAGGAGATGCAGTTGGCCCTCCAGATCTGTGAGTTCCATCTGTGCAAATTCAACCAACCACCGATGAAAAAATATTTGGGAAGAAAAATGCATCTGTTCAGAACAGACACCTTTCCTTGTCATTATTCCTTAAACGATATAGCATAGCAACTATTTCCATAGCATTTATATTAAGTATTCTAAACAACCTAGAGGTGATGTAAAGTATAGGGAAGGTGTGTCTAGCTTATGTGCAAAACTGTGCCATTTTTACATCAGAGACTTGAGCCTCCGTGGAGTCTGGCATCCATGGGGCTCCTGGACCCAATCTCCCACAGATAGAGCTAAATGATGAGATTCACCAACAGAGAGGTGACTTGTTCCCAGGCCTGATCTTGGTCCCCACTGAGCCCATGATCTAGTGTCCTGGAGACACTCACAGATCAGTCTCATGAAGCCATCTCATTCTGTCAGGATCATCTCATTCCCTTCTCCCCGCAGAAGTTCTGGTTCTCATCCCTTTCCCCGAAGATGATCTTTGCTGTCGATAACCACACTCATTTATTTAGCTCTTACCAGGTGCTAGGGTCTCTACACCATGTTTCCTTCCATTGCTCCACTGTGAGCCATCGTGGCTGATCCCCAGGGGAACTAGTAGCATTGGAAGGGGCTTAAGCGATGGTCCAAGCTTTGGCTAACATCTTTCATTTACAGATGAGGAAATGGGCGTCCAGAGAAGGAGAGGGCTTGCTGAAAGTTCCACAGCTATTTAGCAGTATTGTACCTTCTGGAAGTCTCTTGTTTGGAGAGGTCCCTTGCCTTCCCTCGTGTCCTACTCAGGGCTACGCCTGTAATGGAAGAGGCTGGCCCGGAGGTCAGACACGAGGCTTCTTTGTCACTGGGGCTCCCCTTCTGGCTGACCGTGGGAAAAGACAGTGCATGTGACTTCTGAGGTGACACTAATGTTCCCAGCTATGTGAGCCTGACTGCTCTCTCCAGCCGGAATCCTGGCCCCAGATGCTGGACTCTCTAGTGAGTGAAATGACAGAGTCTGATAGGAATGACCATCAGAACTGGGGTAACTGGTTTTCCTAGACCTGAGCCCAAGCAGAAGCTGGGAGGATTACAGCTATTACCCTCCACAATAGATCCCGAGAGCCTCAAAGATGCACAGGCGTCCACACATGCATACACACACACACACTGGAGGAGCAGTACAGTACTCTGGTGTTGTTGACTTGCCTTTGATTTTTCTGAACAAATGTAGGACAGAAATAAATATAAGGATTATCCAAAATGCCACTTAACCAAATACCAACCTCTCAAGTCTTTAATCAGAATAGCTTTAAAAGGGAGGAGGTGGTCAAGCTTCTAGATTTAGATTGTTCTTGCCTTCCTTTTTCTGCAGCCTGAGTCAAATACATGCAGTTACAGCAGAGCTGGGAGCCAGGGGGCTAAGCTTAGGACTGATCAAAAACCTCTCGGCTCTTGGGCACTTCCAATTTTGCTGAGGGTTGATTTATCCAACAGCCAGATTCTGTTTAATTCTGTGCAGACAAGAGATCAAGCAAGGGTGAAGTAGATACAGGGAGCATCCCTGATCCCTGTTCCCTTCTCCTCCTGCAGGAGGGGACTGACCAACTCATTAAGAGTGGCCGATACGACACAAGAGAAGACTTTACAGTGGTTGTGCAGCCGTTATTTGAAAAAGTGGACATACCAAAGACCCCGGTAACGAAAGCCCCATTGAGGAAGAGTGGATCCCCCGGGTGGTGCCCAGCTCTTCCAAGCATCTGTTGTTCCAGGAGACAGCTCTGTCACTGCCTCTCTTTTTTCTGCTGGTTCCCAGGAGGGCATTCCTGACAGCTCTTTCTTCGCCCCTGACTGCTTCCACTTCAGCACCAAGACCCACTCCCGTGCAGCTGTTGCCCTCTGGAAAAACATGGTACATTGGCCGAGGAAGGAAAATCCTCCTCCCTCCAAGTCCCACTGCTTCTGTTCCTCCCTCCCTCCTACACCCCGGTCCTGCACCCTGACCTTTCCACTCTGGCCGCCTCTTTCTCATCCTCCGTCTTCTTGCTTCTTGGTTTAGCTGGAACCCATTGGCCAGAAGGCAGCGCACCATAATTTTGAAATCAAGATTGATGTCTTTTGTCCAAACCAGGTAAGATGAGATGTGTGTGCCTGCCGTACTTGATGAACTGTGTCTTCTCCAGGTCTGTTGTGAAGGGGATGTGAAGGATTACCAGACATCAGGAATGTAGTTTTGCCGAGGTGTAGAGGGCTGAAGCTCTCACAGGCAAGCACCAGCCAACTCTCTCCAACCTCGGTTTTTATTAGATACATGCACAATGCTTCCGTGAAAATAAACAGTTAGTTCCTTACAGATTATCTCTAGCAAAGCATTAGAAAATATTTTTGCTGAACACCTGGTTCTAGTTATTCACATACTCTCTCAAAACAGACCGTTCCCAGAATGTTATCGGAGGGCTCTCAAGACAGTTCGCAGCCTTGAACTTCTGAGTTGTGGCTCCGTGTGCCGAACAAATGCAGTTCCTCTTCCAATCTGTGTCTCAGTGTAACCTCCTCTGCACAGGTCCAGCTCTCTGGGCTTCTCAGTTCATTTCATCCCAGGGTCTCGGACCCACCCCATTCAATAATCCAGGTCAACACCCAAAACGCCCCTTCCAGTTGACCTGAGAGGGTCGAAGACCCCAGGGACTGGGTCTCTGCATGGCAGAGCTCCCTAGCACAGACCAAGCTGGACCGCGTTTTCTCAGGCAGACAGGAAAAACATGGCAGCCACCTCCAGCTCTCACTTTGAAGGTTGAGAACAGGGGAGAACTTCAAGGGCAGCTAGGACCAAAGAAGAGCCTGTGTACACACAGCCGCTGCCTCCACCACAATCTGGGAAGGGCGCGGAACTGAGAGAGACCTAGAATGCTATCTGGTTGGAGAGAGGGTGGAGGGTAGAGCGCTAATTTGGAAGTGGGAACTAGAAAAGCAGAACAAGACCCCATTTTTACCCATCAATTGTTAGAAGGATTCTCAGGTCCCTATGGCTGCTGCCCATACCCCTATAATTTGCTGCACATCCAGAAGGGTTCCAGGCCTTGACAGAATCACATGCTAGGGCTTGCACAGGGCAGGACCAAAATCTGACTTTTGTTGCCTGAGCAAGAAGAGGCCCAGGGTGGAGTGGGCGTAGAGTAGCAAAGGAACCCAGTAAGTGGAGGCAGGCTGGTATTAGCAGGAAGAGGAGTATTCTTGTTGGGAGGAAGTGGGTGGAGAAAACGGGCAGCCAGGGTCCTCAGTCATCAGGGCTGGAGGAGCCAGGGAGACACACATGTTGCGAGGAGCCATTTAAAGGTTTATTCTACATCGTCATCTAGGGAAGGCCGGGGTGCATCCTGAACTAGAGCCCCTAATGGTCAGCATGGATGGGAGGGGCTGGGCTCAGACTGTGTGCCACCATTACTCACTCCCTCTGCCCACAGGTCTCGCCATTCCTGAGAACCTACAACAACAGCATAGAGGTATCTGCTAATTGCTCCCTTTTGCAAAGATCATCCACCCACCTATACTTTCAGAAGGCAGATGGAGCTCCTTAGCCAATCAAACCACAGTACCACCGAGGCACATGGAGGAGAAACATCCTCTTTACCACACGGGGGCAGGAGCAGAGGGTGGTACTGCTTGGGGTCATTTGTTGCAGCCTTGAGTCTCACACGGGGTAAAGGAGTGGTCTGGACTAGATTCACGGAGCTCAAGCTGGCTGCTGATGCTCAAAATCACCTTGGGTGACTTTGAGATTCCCTCACCAGGTGTAGAACTCAGAAACCTGTATGTTTTAAAGCCCTTTGGGTGGATCTGATGCCCAGCCAGCCCCTCTGGCCCCTTCTAACTGTGTGGTGTTGTGTGTGTGTGTGTGTGTGTGTGTTTGGTTTTTGTTTTTTGAGACAGGGTCTCACTACGTAGTTGAGACTGACCTGAAACTCACTATGTAGTCCAGGCTGGTTTCGAACTCACAGCGATCCTCCTGCCTCAGCCTCCCAAGTGCTGGGATTACAGGTGTGTGCCACCACGCCCGGCTCTAACTATGATTTTGGGATTCATTCTATGTTCTTAGGACCATGGGACCTGGCTGGCATGCGCAGACAGGACCCCTTCTGCCTCAACTCCCACTTCAGGTAAGCCCCCCTGACACACTAGAGCCCATCGCTCCACAACCTCTTACACACCATGGAGTAATATGATGAGACTTTTCTTAAGCTAACACACAAAACACGTTTATGACCAGAGCTTGTTTCCTGTCTGGGACGGGCACCTGTTTGCCACAAAATAAACTCTGGCAATATCATGCCCAGCAGACCCTAAAGTACCTGAGGCCAGAGCTCTTTCCTGCACTCCAGCCCCCTACAGCCAAACTGGCCCAGGATTAGTTTGTCATCCTGTCCTTGTATAATGTCTGTTCCTGTGGCAGCATGGACGCCCAGTCTTGCATGGTCCAAACATTCAAGCAGGTCTTGCTTGAAGCAAAAGGCACTAGGTTCTGACAGGCGGCCTCCTTCCTGCAGACCCAGCATGTCCCCTTACCTTTTCAGTGCATGCCCTGAGACCTGCAGATATCCATGTTGTGGCTGCTCTGGGGGATTCTCTGACTGTAAGGATCCTTGGGCCCCGGGAGGGTTGGGCATGGCTTGGCCATTGAAGATCCCTGCCCTCCTACGAACACTTCTTCCATAAACAAGGAACAAAATGCTGGTGATAGTATTATTAGCAGTCTCTCTGATTTGTAAAGCACTTGAGAGTTTTCAAAAACAGTCTGAAGAACTGCGCTCCAAGGGGCCCCGAAACTGCCCCATGGGAAGCACAGGGCCTGTCCCTGGTTTGGTCAAGAGGTGGCCATAGGCAGGGCAGGGATGGGGCTGGAGGGAGGGTCACAGAGGGGAGCCCGTGTCCCCTGCTCTCACGCTTTGTTCCTTCTGTGCTGAGTGCACTGGAAACCACCTCTGTGCCCTGTCACAGTCCCCGCCTCTTCTTGGACTTGCTAATCTCCCCCGTGATATGTTTTCAAAGGCCGGCAATGGAATTGGCTCCAAACCAGGCGACCTCCCCGATGTCACCACACAGTATCGGGGACTGTCCTATAGGTAATGTTAACCCTTGATCTCCTCCTCCCAGGGCTCACCCCCAGAGCTTGGGTGGGACTTTGACTCCTGTAAATGCCAAAGAAGGGGCTCTCCTTTCTATCCAGCAGGAACATTGGGTGGATGGAGAGGCTATTTCAGTTGACAGTCTTTTTATTTTTAAATTACACAGACAAAATAAACCAAGGCTCTTATCAGCCTCCTCAGTCAGCAAATCCAACATGAAATGTACCCGAAAGACTCCAGAGCCCAGAGTCTTCACCTGCCCACTCACATGTCTGTGTGCGTGTGTGGATGCTCCTGCATCTGTCTGTGTGTGTCTATTCCTGTTGATCTGTAGTCTCCCCTTTGTTTCTATGTGCCTGTACCCATCTGTACAGAAGAACTTCTAAGCCCGACATGCACTCCAGGGGGAAAGGACTAAGGCAAATTCACGGGGACCCCTGAGCCCCTCCTCCGGACTGGCACAGCCTTAAGTGTTGAGGCAGATGGGTGAAGGAACTGTATGGCAGGCATATGCTCAACTGGCAAGTGCTCTTTAGGAATAAAAGTCACCTGAATACAACAAGGACAGAAATGAGGGAGTAACTAACCTTCCAGCAGGGAAGGCCTCCCAGGGAAGGTGGTGCCCAGCAGCCCTGAAAGGTTTGCCATTAGACAAGTAGAAGAGGTAAGAAAGGACATGCAGGGGCTTGGGATTTAGCTCAGTGGTTCCGCTGCCTGCCTCACAAGCGCAACGACCCGAGTTCGATCCCTGGTACCAAAAAAGAAAAAGGAACCCAGATGCAGAAGTAGAAAAGCTCAGTGTCAGGGAGCAGCTGGTTGTAGGTATTCTTGCATTTCTTTCTATCCTAATAAAATGTGTCTTGCTGAATGTCTCAGAGTAATTGGTGAGTAGCTCAGATTTAATCTGGGGAAACAACCAGACCAAAGGCAGCCACGAGAGGGCAGTGAGCCCCAAAACGAGCAGTGGGTGGCACAGGGAACACATCTGTTGCCTGCCTGTTTTGGGGAAGCTAATGTGACTATCTCTGCAAGAAAGAGGTAACAAAGGGAATGAACAGGTCTGTGACTGACGGCTCTTCAGCCAGAGGTGAGGAGAGTCTCAGAGAGGGAGGGAGGCTTTGGGGGCAAGAGAGAGGCACCATCACAAAGCCTGTTGCCACCCACGGGAAGGAGCTGTGATGCCCTTAGTATGGGGCATCTTCCCCTCCCCCAGGGCCCAGGTCAGTACCTCCTACCTGAAGCCCCTATGTCCTCCCACGTCTTCAGCCAGGCCAGTGGGACCTAGTGGACTGCACAGAACACAGCAGAGCCTGGTCACTGCTCTCTCACCCAGTGTTGCTGAGGCTACAAGGAAAAGAAAGCCCAGAGGGGACGAAAGAGAAGGGAGCTTGTTCCAAGTTAGGAAAAGCACAGGTTGTGGCGGCTGCACACAGCCTGAGCTAAAGAAGGCAGTGACCTCCCGTCCTAAGGGAAAGAGAAAGCGAAGCAGACAAAACACACAGCAGATAGGTAAGCGACTCCTGGGGTAGTGAGGTGGTCAGCCCAGCTTCCCAGGCGGTTGGCTTGGCTGGGCTCCTGGAACCCTAATACTGTACAAAGGCCATCTCTCTAAAGTTTCTCTCTGCAGCTATGGAAAAATCTAGCCATCACTCTGTTCCCTCCAGGGGAATGTCTGGATTTTCTAGCTCTAACTTCAACACTCTCCGTCCAATGGCTGCTTTTCTTTTAAACCTTTTATTTGTCCTAAAGTTTCAAATATCCACCCCTAAACTCACCTGTGTTAACGAAGGAAGCGCTAGGCCAGACTCTAAGAGATGGTTTGAGTTGTGGTAGAAACTAGTTTCTCAAAGTGTGTTCTGTAGAACACTAATTCCACCCAAGAGGGGGAACTCCTTTGAGTTTTGGGGGAAGCAAGAAGGGCTACAGGCTATATCCTTCCTTTGGGCAAATTTACATGAATATTAGCATGACAAAGGCTCTGAGCAGTGCTGCATTGAAGAAATATCTGTTTTCATTTTGTGTTTGAGGTGGTATTTCCCTGAATTCCTGAATTCTTTGTTTATGATACCTATTCACATCCCCTGGGAACGGTCTGTGTAGTAAACCGATCTGAGTAAAGCAATGCTTTGAAGCCATCCACACTTCTAGGTTGGAAATACTAGTCCATTAACGGTTCCAGGTAATTTAAGAACCAGTTTTGGTCTTTTCTGCTGAGGAAACAGAGTAGATGGGAATATTTCCAAAGCCTGTGAGATGTTGCACCAGCGGATGGTAGTTCCAGTTTTGTCCAGTTCACCAGTGAGGCAGGCAGAGGTCTTTTAGACCATGGTCTTTTCTCCCACAGAAATGTGTTGTCTTGTTTGGGATCATTCAGTGGACCAACATGAAATACATACTTACCTACCAAAAGACATATTTCTTTTTTTTTTCAATTAGGACTTCAATCTCACATTGCCGAAGCTCCTTCAACAGATATTGTCGAGCATCTACCTACTTTACTTTTTTGTGGGTGACAACAGGTGAACAAGACCCAGCCACTGAGCCTGGAATGTTATAAACCCTATGTTCATTGAAGGGTCTAACATACTCTAGCACGGGTTTCTTTTGACACCATCTGTTTTCTTTTATGTTTTCATAGCTCTGATCAGGATGGTGACTAAAATAATTTTGTTCCTCCATATTAACCTGTACAATCTTTTTTTTTCCTAGACATTTTCACTCTAAAGTGGCACCAGGGAGAGATTCTCCCAGCCTGTTGGCCTTGGTCCAATGCCGTACTTCTTTTAGCACCAAGATCCCTTTAAACAAGAAATCACAGTACTGTGTTTATTGAAAGGGAAAAGAAGGCAGAGTTGGAAGACAATAATAAGAAGCGGTATAGGGATTTTTTTTTCCTCTCTCTAATGTAAAATGCTCCTGTTTGGTACCTTTGGTCCAGAGAAAGAACCAGGAAGCAGCTGAAATGGCAGCTTTGTGGAAAATAATTGGAAGCACGTGTACAACCTCTGGCCCTGTTAGGTTCAGACGTGGATGGGCAGTGGGCAAGAGAACTGAGTGCGTAGAAAAGTGAGGCTTACCCTAGCGGCCTTTTCCCTACCACATGGGCTGTTTGCTCAGCCTGTCACAGGGTCCCCAATCAGCCTGGTACAAGAAACAGTCCACTTCATTCCAAGTATCTCTTGAATGAAGAACAGCTAGGACTGATCCATGGCCATCCTGTAGAAGTCCCTGCTACTGGGGTGAGTGCTTGGGCTGTGTTCTGAAAAATCAGCTGGCCTGGACTGAGACTCTGGGATAGAGGACAGAGGCACGGAAGCAAAACGACAGTAAATACGGTACATCTGAATATCGAGTTTTGTTAAAACAAATATTTCTCTCCTTGACTCTTATATGTGGTGCTCGATGTAAACACGTGAAAGGAAATAGAGGCTTTTAGAGTGTCTTGAGGTTAGGTTAGACGAAATTAGAGCAAGCGTTGGAAGGCAGCGAGAGGCTGTCCTCTGAACATTCCAGCATAATTTACCTGACACTGGCCAGTGAAGAGTTTATCTATGTTCCAAAGGTTTCCCACTCAGGCTGGGTCCCAGTTACTCTTAGCAACTTAGCTAATCTCTAGGCCCCTCAGTTTTCTACTCTGTAGAATGGAGAAAGTCACATCTACCTCATAAACTTGTTGGGAGATGAGAACCAGTACAGGATCTATCTACTCCGTGCTGAGCACACAGTGTGTTCTTGGCTAAGGGCCCTCCTTCCTGATATGGTCAAGAGAAGAAAAAGCTTTTTCTACCTTCAAATTCTGGATGTGTGGGAGGGACCCAACCATAGGTGAATTTAAAATTTTCTCAGGATGTCTCAAATACCAAGAGGTGGGTCTGCCTCGCCTCACGGGTGCTTCCTGGCCCTGAGAAGGGTGGGGTGGCCTTGTCGTAAAGCTTGTGTATTGACTCCATCTCTCTCTCCTTCACTGGCTGGCTCGCTCCCTGCAGTTCCGGTGGGGATGGCTCCCTGGCAAATGTGACCACCTTACCTAGTAAGTAACCACCAAGGGCTCAAGCATGTCCTGTCAGTCATCTGATTCCCAGGCATCCAGGGAGCATCTTCCGGTAAAGAAAGGAATGACATTCCTCTCTGGACCACCAGTGTGGGAGGAGGGGGAGGCTATGGGCCGGCAGCCAGAGTGGGTGGAACGGAGACTGGAGGTGTGGGTTCTGGGCCTTACCCTCTCTGCAAGCTTGTGAGGTGACTTAGGGCAAGATACCAGACTCTGTGAGCCTCCAGTTTTTCAACTGGTCCGGGGGTGCTGAGACAAATGACATAGGGACCTTTCATTGCACTTTGGGTTGTATAAAGATATTTTGAAGTGAGAGGCTCTTACTGCCTGGGCCATTTTGCCATTAAGTCATTTCAGTTCACAGAGGTCCCAGTTTATGCCAGGCACCCTCCTGGGCTCCCTGCCTTTCCTGGGGAATCATAAGGACAATGGTACAGCCCACCACGGGGACTCAGACCCTGTGGTACAAGGGGAGGCACCTTGGCCCTTTGTCCTGAGCACTCTGTACCTTGTTCACCTTTCTTTCTTCAGATATCCTCCTGGAGTTTAACAGAAACCTCACCGGTTACGCGGTGGGCACTGGTGATGCCAACGATGCGAATGCATTCCTCAACCAGGCTGTTCCTGGAGCGAAGGCTGAGTACGGCGTGGGGGTGCTGTGGAGTGGGGAGCTGAGACACGCTGCTGATGCATTCAGATCGCAGTACTGGCCTCTGGGTGTCGAGGGACCTTCATTCATCTGCAGCAATGACTTCAGAGGATAGCACTGCCCTTCCCTGCTGTCCCTGTGACCAGTCCACGGCAGGGAAGAGAGGGGCTGGAGCCTGCGGAAAGGGTGGTGCTCCTACAGCGACTGCCACTCCTAGCCCTGGTTTAACTCACCAGTTTTTCAGTGTTTAAAACTTATGTAGGCCTAATGGTGCCAGAGAGACCTGCTCTCCCTGAAGGCCCCCCATGGATGGGCAAGCCAGAATCTCCAGAGTAGGAGGACTCTGCTTCCCTTGCCCTCTTATGGAGCTACCGAAAAGGAAAACAGAGCTGAGAGGCTGGGAAAGCAGCATCCTAGGATGATCTTCAAAGGGGGCTGGGGCTCCTGCTTCACGCAGCCTCTGACCCAAACACCTGAGCTTCTCCCACAGTGTCATCTTCCTGCTCAGCCCTGCACACTCTGGTTGAGCACGGCCCCCAGTTCTGCTCACTTGACCTAGAAATCGAAATAGCTTGGAACAGATGGTCCCTGCATCTGATTGTCCTGTGGATCTATCACTTAGACCTATAACAGGGCTCTAAACAAGGGTGTTGAGGTGCCTGAGAGTTCTTCCTTCCGTGAATTAGAAACCTCGGCATGAAAGTTTGAGACATTCCCAAAACTCACCTCAATAACATAAGTGTACAGTATATACTAACCTATATAGAGCAGTCATTTTTATGAGACAAATCAGCCACTGGGAGAAGCAAAGAGGAAGCAATTGTGTCAGTGTGAGCATTGTTACAGTTATTGTGCTTCAACATCACACTCAGCTTTCTGTCAGCCAGGAGGGCAAGGGTGGATGAAGCACGCTAAAACTTTTGTGAGTCTAATTGCAAGATCTTTCCAATGGTTTCTTAGCATAGAATCCCAAGAGTCATTTTGCAGGTGGCACCGTAGAAGGAGATGGTGAGCAACACACGCAGGTGGCAGTACCTTTGACTACAGCTTTAGGGCAACGCACAGTTGACTTTTCACAAAGATATCTGCTATAACAACTCTCCAGAAGAGCCAAGGAGCTTCTGGCCTCTGAGCCTAGGGATCTCTGCAGCTCAGTCAGTGAGGGTGGTTTCCCTGGAAGCTCTGGTTTGGGCTGTTGAGGAGGAAAAGTACGGGCACTCCCCCTCGGTGGGAGAACTGATTGTTCTTTCTTTATCAGGGATCTCATGAAGCAAGTCCAGAGTCTGGTGCAGAAGATGAAAGATGACCGGGTGAGTCAGGCCTATGGTTATGATAACATTAATGGAATGGTTTGCCATGGAAAGCAGTGATCCCCGTGTGTCTAGAGGCATTTAAGCAGAGGTGGGGCTGCTCCTTGTCTGACATCCTGTAGAGGACATTGTGTCAATGTGGAGAGGACTATGGTGGTTGCAGTGACCCTGAAAGTCCCTCCAGGTACCTGGGTATCTGTGGCCTATAAATAAACCTCTCAAATTCTGTTGGCTCTGAGATTCTGATTGTATTGTTTCAAGAGAACAAGGAAGTCATAGAGGATGACTGGACTTCCTAGATCTATCATGTTTTAGTTTGATGGGAATCAACAAGGATCTTCCTCTCTTCATGTAGAGAATAAATTTCCAGGAAGACTGGAAGGTCATCACGGTGCTGATTGGAGCCAGTGATTTGTGTCACCACTGCACAGATTCGGTAATGCAGCCAGGACCTAGGCCTATTCCTTGCTCCTCACTTTGGCCAGTGGGCTTTGCAGATCCTCTCTGAGAACAGTCCCTAGAACCAACCCTAAGAGCACCCAGTTCTGCCTGTGCTAGCACACGTGGCACAACACATGTGCATACACGTACAGCCTCTTCTTACCCCATGACCCTCAGGTTCCTGGTGCTGTTTTCACATCCCACGTGGTGAGGTAGCAGGTGACAGACATACGCTATTCCTACTCCTCTCTCGTACTACTCTTGAGAATGCAGAAAGAAAAGAGATTGTAGACCCCAGGCAGTTGGGTGAGGACTCTCCACTTTCTGCTTCCAAACTAAAGCTCTGGCCAAAGATGCCAGTCCTCTTGGTGGCCATCTGTGACAACAGTGAGTTGTCAACTGTTCCTCTCAGTTTCTGCCATGCTGAGCTAGTTACAGCTGGAGGCCAGAGGGAAAACAAGTCCTTGGGGTTGGAATGGGGTCACCTACGGCTGCCCCCACTGCCCTCTCACTGGAACCAACTCCTTTCCCTCCCTCATGTCTCTTCCAGAATCTGTATTCTGCAGACAACTTTTTTAACCATCTCCGCAATGCCTTGGACGTCCTGCATAGAGAGGTGGGTGACAGGATGTCCTGCGTAGAGACCTCCAACATGGTGGGGGTAAAGGTGGGTCGGGGAAGAGTTATGAAAGCTCCCCTTCCTTCAAGGAGAGAGACAAGAGCATGGGCTCCTTCCCTGTCCACTCCCAAGCAAGCCTCATTCCACATGGAATCAGCCCCAAAGGACCTCAGATTTGGAGGAAGGAAGGCAGTGTTGTCTAATTGGCACTGTAGCCTCAAGTCTCCCCACCGTGGTGCCATCCTCTGTCAAGAACAAGCTGCCCAATGACCAGGTCCCAGGGAGTGTTCTGAGAACCAGCCGCCCTCCAGGGCAACTGAATCCCTCTGCCTCCTCAGCAGCACCAGACCAGGCTGGACTGGTGGGATTTTTGTCAAGGCCCCGTAGCCTGCTAAGTAGGTCACATATCCCACCAAATTTAAAATTAATGATTTGGGGCTTAGTAAGTGATAGCTGGACAGGGCTGACCCCTTAGTGGTTACTATCCTACTCCAGGAGGTGCAGCAGCCCACGTGAGTGTGTCCTTGTGTAGTCGTGTGACACAGTTTGCCATGCCCTGTGAGGTGGCCCAGTGTGGACTCCTCCCCAAAGCTCTACTCCAGAGTGGCCTGAGCTGGAGGTCCCAGGCTAGCCAGCTGCCATGTCTCCAGGTCCCAAGGCAGGCCAGGGAGGAAGCCCCAAAGCCTCTCTCTCACCTGCAACTTGGCCCTCAGGTGCCCAGAGCCCTGGTCAACCTCGTGGACTTCATGAATCCCAGGGTCGTGCGGCAGGTGTTCTTGGGGAACCCAGACAAGTGCCCGGTGCAGCAGGCCAGGTAGGCAGCTGCTGACCACCCCAGGCTGGAGACACCCTTACCCCATGGTCAGGCCCACATGCAGCAGTGACTCTTCGAGGCCTTTCTGACTTGGTCTGTCCACGTGTCCATGTCTGTACAAAAGGACTTGGGCCCGAATCACCCACTTCTGGGAGATAGGAATGTTGGTTCTGCTCCCTCTTATCCAGTCCCAAGGTGCCAGGTGCTAACTAGGGACTTCTGTGCCACTGGGAGCCATGAGGCTGATATTTGCATAGAGTAGCCTAGACTGTGAAGGGGCAGCATCCTAGGAGGTGTGTGTGTGTGTGTGGTCAGACATTAAAGGCAGGAAGTGGGACATGCAGAACTTCAGATTGGGACTGATCTGTTGCATAGACTAGGCAGCAGGTCTGTGGACAAGTGTTTCATTCTTCTTACACAATACTTATACGTACATCCATTGATTAAACAAATCTCATTGAACTTACTGTGTATGCAGCGCTGTTCTAAGTGCTTTAGAACTCTTTTCAACTTTATGGTAGTGCAAAAGCCATGTGCACTCACTAGAAACCAGACTTGGAATTTTGAGTTTTGACTTTTTTCCTGGGCTGGCAATGTGTACTATGCACCTCTGGTATGTGGTACTGTGCTGTCCCATGATTCCAGGCAGGAGCACAGCACTGTGGCCATCAGCCCTACAGATCCAGGGGAAACAACCAACACTCCACGGTGCATGGCATTGCTACCCTGTGATGGTCAGTAGGTTAGGTGTAGTAAATGCATTTTTAATGGAAAAGATTTTCAACTTCTCATGGGCTTATATGGATATCATAAATTGAGCAGCACCACTAGCCCGGTGGGCTTGGTGGCACACACCTATAATCCCAGTACTTGGGGATCGCTGTGAGTTTGAGACCAGCCTGAATTACATGGTAAGACCCTGTCTCAAAAAAAGAAAGGAAGGAAGGAAAAGAAAAGAGTACCTCTAACCTTTTAACATTAAGTACATATAGATGTGAATTGATTCACCGTAAAACAAAAGGGAACAGTGTGGCGCTGAAGGAGTTGGGTGCATGAACATCAAAGGCAAAACAAGAAAAAAAAAAAACAACCCTGCTCCCACACCAGAGAACTAGTTATTTTTAAAGCACCGTATTCTTATTTCCTAAACTCATTTGCCCAGGACCTGCAGTCCATTGCCAGTGCATGTTCACAGGGAGGGTGCTCATGGGCCCCATTTCCTCCCTGGACCTAGCCTGGCCCCCGAGCACAAACTGTGGAGCCTCCAGCCACACGTGCAACTTAACCAGGGCACAGGCGAAGCCCTCATGCCCACCCCAGGAGGCCCAAAGGCTGCCGCGCCTGAACGGAGCTTTGGCTCTGGGCTCCTCCACTTCCCTCTTTGCAGCGTCTTGTGCAACTGTGTCCTGACCCCAAGGGAGAACTCCTACGAGCTGGCCAAGCTGGATGCCCTCACCCAAGCCTACCAGGTGAGAGAAAGACAGGCTCTTTCCTATGTCCTCTCCACACGCGCTCTGACATCACAGCCCAGGGGCCCCTGGGAGGCATGCAAGGAATGAAGACCTCAGCCTCCCAGCCTCCGGGGCCCTTCCTCTGTCCCACGTCAGGATTGGGATGACAAAGCTCTCATGGCTGAGCTGCCCCTGGGGGCTTCATTCCAGTTCTGGCCAGTAGTTCTGGGTGTCCAGAAGGCCACCCCAGAGGCCCAGCCGCCCTCTCCTCTCTCGCCTGAGCCCCCCCCCCCGACCCCTGCAGACTGCCCATGAGAAGGAGAGTTTGAGGCTGGGAGCCTGGGAGTATGCAGATTTTATTCCTGTGGGATCCCGTCTAGCCCTTCAGAGAGTGCAGATCATTAAAACCAAAACCCAGCCACACTCTACCCTCTTTCCAAAGTCTCCAAAAAGAGATCTGCCTTTGTGTTCTCAAGGACGGGGCTGAGTCAGTGCCCCTGTCCGGGACGGTGAGGGCAGGGGTGCTTCTCCCACCCGCCTTTTCCTACCTGTGCTGAAGGTCCTGTGTGCTGATGTCCCCAGAGCAGCATACGCAAGCTGGTGGAGTCAGGCCGCTATGACACCCGGGAGGACTTCTCCGTGGTATTGCAGCCCTTCTTCCTCAACATCCAGCTCCCTGTCCTGGAGGTACGCACCCCCCCAACCAGAGGGACATGTTGCCATGGTGTTAGCAGGTGGGCAGTCCCGGCAGAGATGCCAAATGCTTCTGCGGGCCTACAGATGAAAAGGGAGAATCAGTTCCCAGGTGCTTTTCTGGGTGCAGAAGTTCCTGTAGCCTCTGAGAACAGCCTCCGTCGTGTTGAGCACCTACTGTGTGCCAGACCCTGCACCTGTTTTTGTATGTTTTACCATCCCATATCCTCCCTAAAATCAACTAGGCAATAAGGCACAGAGAAGCAAGATTCAAAGGTATCTAACTCCGCGTTATTAACTTTCTGCCATGCACATGGTCTCTATCTCATGCAACCTGGCAATGACAAAGGAGGGGCTTGGGGTTACGTTGCCAACCCTGGGCCGTGCTCTTTACTGGGTGCTTCCACTGGAATGGAAGATCTGTGAGTGGAGCAGGTGGGGGCTTTATCCCAAGGCCTCTCCTAATTGGAGGGAAGCTAGGAGAACAGACTTTGCACATCCCCAAGCACACAAGAGGGAGGAGCGGAAGGCAGGTGGCACCTTGCCCTCGTGCCAGCTTTGCCCAAGCCTGCCCAGGGTTCGTCTCCACTGTCCACCACCATCACCACCACCAGGACCAGTGATCTGCAGGCTGGGACATCGCTTTTCCCTGCCTGACTGGTCTGGGAGGGGAGCTAGTCTACAGCCTCAGCTAGGCACACAAATAAGTGTGCCTAAAAATAAACAGTGCACCTTTTTATTAAATAAAGGGGAGATGTGCAGCCAAAAAGGAGGACGAGGGCTTAGGGTTATGTGTGGATTTATTCTTGTCTCACACTTCAAGAGAGCAGACCCTGTAGAAAAAGTGACCTGGAGCCCCCCCAGGGGAGCAGGGCACTGCCTGGTCTTCCCCAGGAGTCAGATCAAGGGCTGTGGCTCCCTCTTACCTAGCTGGATCATGAGGAAGGATACTTGTCTCTTTCAGGATGGGCGTCCCGATACCTCCTTCTTTGCCCCAGACTGCATCCACCCAAGCCAGAAATTCCACTCCCAACTCTCTAGAGCCCTTTGGGTCAATATGGTAAGATAATTGGAGTGTTGCTGGGGTTCTAATCTAGAGCAAAGCATTAACCCTGATAAAAGGGCCAGACTTTTGGCCAAGCATGGTGGCCCATGACTATAATTCCAGCACTTGGGGAGGCTGAGGCAGGAAGATTAAAAGTTTGAGCCCAGTCTGGTCAACTTAGTGAGACTCTTTGTCAAAAGAAAAAAGTACTTCAATGCAAAGGCCCTGGGTTCAATCTTAAGTATTGGAAAAAAATGGTGGGGCAGAAGCTATAGAATGGAACACAGGGAGCTGTGAAGGGTCTGCATGGCCTGGGCTTCACTACACGTTCTCTGCTTGGAACCATGAGGAATGCTCTCTACATAAAAGTCAGGTAGAAGTCCCATGTTCCGTCAACACTTCCCATGTGCCCACATCCTCGGGCAGCTTAAACTGTGGGATCTCACTGTAGCCCTTCCCAGGAAGAGCAGTGTTACGAATTTCTGAGGACGGTGAGTCCCAGAGGAGCTGAGTAACTTGCTCAGTATCCCACGGTGGGCAATCGGCAGAGTAAGGAGTGGCAAACTTAACCCCCAAGGTTAAGTTCTGAGCCTTCCCCACTGCAGGGTGCTGCCAGGGAATGGGCATGCCGGTGACTTCCTTTCCTTCCCTGATCAGCTTGAACCACTGGGAAAGAAAACCAATACCCTGGACCTGGCAGCAGACATCCGCCTGCCCTGCCCCACCCAGGTATTTGTTCCTCTCCAGAACCTACCGCTTCCCTCTTGTCCCCCAGACCATCCTGGCCCACTGCCCATCCTGTGCCTGGGGTGAGGTTGGGGCTGAGAGGGGACACGGACTCCAGGGGAGCAGGGAAGATGATGAGAACACACCGCAGAGGCGGTTGCTTCTTTGGGGATGGGAGAAGCAGCGGGACCCACGTGGAAGGAAAGGGGCTGGGCGGTTGTAGCAAGGGTCGCAAGGAGGATTACTGGTGCCAGAGGCAGGCTCATTTTGGCAGCGGCTTCTGGGACAGAGAGAACCAGCTGCCTGCAGGTGAGAAGATGTAGCAAGAGGCCAGGCAGGCTCAGAAGTGGTGGTCAGAGAGTGTCAAGCCTGGACTGCAGAGTTCCAGCTCCGAGACGGTCAAAGAGGGCAGCACAGGGCAGTCTGAGCTGTGTGCAGGAGGGGAGAAGAGGACCAATCAGCCTGCAGTCAGAGTGAGAACAGCTCAGATCCTTTTAAGGAGGAATATGTATGCGGTGGTTGTTAAGCTTGATTTCAGGCCTGGGGGTGGGAGTTCATGTTCCCATTGCCTTCAGCTCCCATCTTACAGCCTTTTAACCAAATAAGGGCAAGGCCAGAGAGCCTGCAGTGGCAATAAAAGCAGAGTGCCTGACCTACAGCAGGGAGGCTGGTTTCCCTCAGGGGTCAGGCTGCACCGACCTCTCCTACCCTCCTGGCTGAGTGGAGGCCGGGCAAGGGCCTGCAGCTCCCCAGGTAGGTGTCCGCTGGGCCTGGGGCAGAGGGAACACCTGTGCCCAGACCCTTGCCACCACTCATTGTCCTCTCCACCCCAGCCTTGGGCCCAGGCTCAGTCTGATGTCCCTCAGCCTCACCAGGAGAGCAGGGCCAGATGGACGTGATGCAGTGCAGCGCACTTGCTAGGCCTGGGGACTGGAGCGATAGAGTCAAACCGTGCAACCGCCAGTTCCCCATGGATGCCTCCAGTCCAGAGAGTCCTGTGCAGGCTGAGGGGTGGGCAAGGTCCCTGCTGCCACGTGGAAACCCTTCATTGCTACACCCTGAGGAGGTTCAGGAGGGTCTAGGAAGAGGCCAGGGCAATGTAGGTAGTGGGAGTTTTGGAGACTCAAAAGCATAACTAAAAGTATTTCACTATTTTTACACTCTGAGGACCATAATGAATATCAGCCGTGAAGGGCCCTCTCCAAATTGTTAACCCCACTTCCATTAAGTAGCAAAAATAATCATACCAAGAGTTACCCTTTGCTCTTTCTCCCCAAAATATAAAATACCAAGTTGGTGTCTGGCCACTGGGTCAGGGAAATCTGCATCACCACAGGATTCAAAAGAAAGAGCTCTGCCTCTCCCCATCCCTATGTAGGTGACACTCTACCCAGCTTCTCCAGCCACAGGGGCTCAGCCCCGCCCTGTGGAACCTCTGCTGAGCTGGGTAGAGCCCGGTGGAACCACTGGAGAGCCGAGGAGAGGACACCCACCCTCCTAGAGCCAGGAGAAGCCCAGCCTGAGAGAAGCTGTTGCTAAGCAACCCTGGAGCCCATTCCAGGATGGTCCATCTGTTGGCCAGGCCAGCTTCACCGTGCTGTGCCCCAAGTACCATCTGCTCCCTCCCATGTGCCTCGGAGTCACGCAAAAGTCCACCAGCATCTCCGTGTGAGCCCACGGGGACAGGCAGCACATAATTTCTGTCCTAGCTGTGTCTAAACATAGAAGCAACAGGCAGGTCACAGGGGAAGGCTGCAGCCGAGGAGATGGGAGCTGGTGCAGCCTCCTGCTTCTCCTGCCCGGTCGCCAGCTGCACTGCTGGTACTTTTGCCATGCAGGTGGGGCAGCTGCCCAGCACCTGGATTTCTGTTGGATTTTCAAGTTGGATGAGGTGTTGTACAGCCAACTTTGGATTATCCCTGTGGACTGTGACTTTTTTTCCTCCCTGATTTCATCGGCTCTCTGCCTACTCCTTCCCTAAGCCCAGTGTAGCTGAACAGACCACCTGAGAGACCAGCTCCATCCATCCTATCCAGCTGTTATTCTTCTTGTCCTCTCTTGTCGAAGTTAACCACCCTCCTCCTTAAAGTGTGTTCTTCTCTGGACTTGTGGATACCAAGCCACCTTGAGTTTTCTGTTTTTCTGATTGCAATCCCTTTCCTCTCCTAATTCTGAAAATGCATGTCTTCTCCAACTTTTTTGGCTCAGTCCTATTCTTTTCCCTCTCTCTCTCTCTCTCCCTCCCTCTCTCTCTCTCTCTCTCTCTCCCCCTCTCTCCCTCTCTC